ATGCGTATGTACTTTGGCAATTGCGATATAAAGTTGATGTTCAGCTTTTGTTACTTTACTATTACGACTACCTACAATCCTACTTGTCATATGCAATTGTGTGTTCGGATAACTGTGTCAGGAGCGTGAGGTGTTCACAGCACAAAAGAGAATACTGAGGATTATTTTATTTACTCTTGCAAAACGTTATTTCCTAAAGTAAATTTAATAACGTTCCCGTCTCTATATATTATGCATGTAAAAAATAATACATCAGATTACTCTGAGATGAGAAACGGTCAATATGATTTTATGGTCAATTTTAACTTGATATTGCCTAGGTAGGGTGGCTAAGGTAGCAAATAGCCCGATAGTTCTACCAGTTAAACTCTGTAATAAACTTCGCACTGAGGTTAAAAAAAATACAAAAGTGTACTTAAAAATAATTTAACCAAAAATGCTTTTTATGCTATAGAGGAATATCTAGATTACAACGTCTCCGAGCTTGTCTTGTCTTGTCGTTAAATACGGTTTTCCTATGGAGATTAATAATAAATTATCTTTCATTTTCGTTACAAACTTATATTACCCGTATCTGCCGATATTCGGGGAAAGATTTGACCACTATTTATTATATTGAGCACTCACTAAATCTCTATGGTAGCGATATTCAATCTCATAATAAGCCCACTAGTTTACCTTTAAAAAATGTAGGTTTTTTATGCTTAATAGGAAAATAATAAATATACATCCCAACAATAGTCAAAATAAAATAATATTCGAAATATCTTGAAAAAAGTTTTTAGTACCACCAATTAAAATAATCGTAAGGTATCGTTTCCAATTAGTTTTCCGTCACTGTATCTCATAATTTGGAAGAAAAAAAACTAGTTTGTCATTCTGCATAAAAATCGATTCTTGCGTTTCTCTTGCGAGGTGGGCAGTTCTTGATTAAAATTATTTAATAATTACAACAAAACAATCTTGAAATATATCTTCCTTAATTCGTTTAACTTCGTTGTTCAGTAGAGCTTGGTTGCTGCAGATAGTCTTCACTCTTGAATTATTCCTCGTTTGGTTGTTGCTGAGTGGTTGATGATGCGTTTAGTTATTGGCCTGTATGGTTTCGGTACACGGAGGTATTAATCGAGGAATGGTATTGCTCCGGTTTTCTCTATCTCGATTGTGAATTTTAGAGACGGAGTGATGCCATTAACTTGATGGAGGACATGTTGTAGCTGTTCCCAGACTTTGTCCCATATTGTGAAGATGTCGTCGATATATCTCAACCAACGTTTAGGTTTGTTAGTTGTTAATTTGATAGTTTCTTCCTCGAACCATTCCATGTAAATATTTGTTACTACCGGTGAATATGGTGATCTCATCGGCAAGCCATCATTTTCTACTTAGAAATGGTCTTTCAGTTCAAAAATACGAATTACGTAGGCAGCAATCCAATAGTTCCATGATGTCTTCCAGTGGTAGTGCAGGTCTTTGTGACAATGTTAAATCTTCTTGAAGCTAACAATCCCTAGAGCTGCGTCCAAAGGTACGTTAGTGTATAGGCTTTCTACATCGAAACTGACAAAATAAGGGTGTTGTCTTTATTATATCAACAAAGTGGGCAGAGTTCTTGGCGAATGACTGCGATTTTCCTTGTAAGGGGTTATCTCCAACAGATATTGAGCCAGCTTATTTTCTAGCGAATTTCTGGAATTTGTAATTGGCCTGTGTGGCATGTCAGGTTTGTGGTTCTTTGGCAAGCCGTGTGTGGTATGCTGTGGTGTGGTGTGGTGCTTTCCACAATATAATCCCTGTGTTTACTAATTATTTTGTAAATTATTTTTTCCAGTAACTGTGTTGGTTAGTAGCCTGTATGTTCCTTCTCACAATAATTTGACTATTTTATTATCGTAATCAGTGGTAATTAGGATAACGGTAGCAGTTCCTTTATCAGATGGAAGTACCTTAATAGTCTTTTGCTTCATTTCTCCATTCTCGTCATATTGTTCGTTGGCTTATTTTTTTATTGCTTATTTCATGCAGAACCGGAAGTTCTTTAGGTGTTTTGGCGAAATTCAGTCCTTTTTCCAGGAGGTTTCCTTCCACAACCATCAATGTTTCGACGACTTATATATAACAGTGATTCTGCTGGGGTGGGAAGTAACTGATCCGTTCGGTTGATTGACGCCTCTGTTGTTTCCTGTCATGTTTGATCTGCATGTTAATTTTATTGAAAATAGGTTTTGTCTTCGAAAAGAAGTTCTTTCATTTCTTCAAAGCGTTGGGTCGCGTCGACTAAGAGTATTGCCTTTATCCAGCGGTGGTGATTGAGTTGACTGCGAACCAGCGCGCCACTGTCCCTAGCTGTGCATAGACATTTCTTTGGCAAGTGTAATGCTTACTCGTTCGTCACCAGTGCCGTGTCCGTGTCGGGATTCCAATGTTTCTCTAAAATGCTGATAAATTCGTTCGTCCGCTCAGTTTCCACCTGATAGCGGCTAGTGATACTTTCTAGCCGAAACGTGTTAAAAAACGTTTTTGCATAATGGAAGTTCTAAACACCAGTATTCAGCAGAATTAATCCTTGTCTACCTTTACAGAAACATTCTCATAAAACATTTAACCTTGTGTTCTCACTAGTTTTTAAACGACCTGGCCGTAGACGATCTTTTCTATGCCCCGTTTTTATAAATTTTCTATCAATGTTATTCACTGTGGATATTGTAATATGTATTTCTGGATATTTTGGGTTAAACAAATTACAAACTTATGCTTGTATTCCGGTTTGGTCTCCATATTCAAATTCACTGGGTTTCATTGAGATGCGTCATATTCAATTTTTGTACTGATGGAAATGTAATTGTAACCATTTAGTACCAGTAACTAGCTACTTGCTTGTTCATTTCATTAATTGCATGAATAAAATAAAAGGAAATTGGTATCAACATTACTTTTTGAATCACCCTATATATTTTATGTTTACTGCAAAACATGGACAAATCCAAATAAAAAATCCAACAGCTGATTTTTAATGAATTTTGTTTCATATTTTAACCGTTCACTATAGTGTGCGACATGTTGATAAACTTATTTCATAATATACTAATATCCCAATGGTAACAAGGAAATTACGCGGAATTCTGAAGGATTTAAGTAATTAAAAGAGTTACAGTGTACAGGGTGGCCCGTATATGAAGGACGTATACCTTATGTCGAAAGCTACGGGGGTTACCAAAATTTTTTAAATATTTCTATTAAAATTACCTTTTTTTTCCTATTTTTTTATATACAAAGTGGTAAAAAAAAGATATATTTTGTTAAATAGAACACTCTACATTTTATTACATTTTTTGATAGTCCTTTCCAAAACAAATTCAACGATATAATGGGTGTTTTTTTTCGATGTATAGAACTTTAAGTTGGCATTACTGTTCAAGATGGTGACCGATTTAACAGCTGTCAAGTGATTTATTCTCAGTTTGGTTTGGCAATTCATCATGAATAGACTCACGCCTGAACAACGCTTGCAAATAGTGCAATTTTATTTCTAAAATAATGGTTCTGTGCGGAATACGTATCGCGCACTACGTCCATTTTATCGTCGACAAAATCGTCCATCGGAGCAGTTAATTCGATTAACCATGGAATGTTTTCGCACCACGTTTACTCTTATTGATAACTCGCATCCCCAGAGACGCCGTACGGTGCGTACAGAAGAAGCTATTGCTGCTGTAGAGCGTAGCATTGAGGAAGACCCGAATGAGTCCATCCGCCATCGAGCACAGGAATTGAATCTGTGTCCATCCACTTTATGGAAGATTTTGCGGAAGGATCTTGGTTTACGTGCTTACAAAATTCATCTCGTACAAAAATTGAAGCCAAACGATCATCAAGTAAGGCGTAGATTCGTCGAATGGGCCCAAAACGAGATTGCCGATGTTCCCGATTTTCATAAGCGAATTTTGTTTAGCGATGAAGCGCACTTCTGGTTGAATGGCTACGTCAACAAACAAAATTGCCGCATTTGGAGCGAAGCTAATCCTCAAGTGTATGTCGAAACACCGTTACGTCCAGAAAAACTGACTGTTTGGTGCGATTGCACCAGTCCATACTGGTGGAATCATTGGTCCGTGTTATTGCCGATATACGGCCACAAGTGTTGGAAAAAGTCATCGAAAATTGGACGTCCAGATTGGACTACATCCGCGCCAGCCGTGGCGGTCATATGCCAGAAATCATATTTAAAATGTAATGCCACAAGATTATCTTTCGGATAAATAAAATTTATGGCAATTGAATAATCCATCGTTGTTTTAGTGCAACTTAAAGTTCTATACATCGAAAAAAACACCCCTTATATGACTGTGATGCACCGTTTCGAATTTATTAACGATCATCTTCAGAATTCGGGTTATGTTTAAATCATAATTGTTGGGTTGCTTATTAACTTTTTAAGCTTTTTTTCATCTATTTTCATTTATTATGTTTACGGAAAAAATGCTTTTCTTCAGGCAATGATGATCAAATTTAAAATGTTTTTTCGCAAAATGATACTTTTCTCAATTTTCTTAAATGAAACACCCTGTATATTATTGGATTTTCAAATACTCACTTTAATAGCAATTTCAGTTATATAACATAGTAGTGTCTGACATACTCATATATATCGTTGAATTTGTCTTTGAAAGGACTATTTTTAGATAATTTTGTTTTACCACCTTGTATATATAAAAGTGACGGTTAGGAAAACAAAAGAAAGGTCATTTTAATAGAAACACTTTTGTATTTAATTTTTTTTCTTACCCCCGTAGGTTTCGAGATAAGGTATAGGCCCCTCTTAAATGGGCCACCCTGTACACTCTGCCTTCTGCCGTTTAATCTTCGCTAATAACGTTATGGTTTGTAATGCATAAAATTGTATTGTATTCTACCACTCTTAGCTTTTCTGTAGACATGATTCTCAGTAATTTTAATCGGTTTTTAATTTTTTTACTACATTTTGTTTTATTTCTTTTTAGGGTTTTTCGTACGAAACAGTTTATTTCTCGTTGTGCCACATATATAGCGGAGCGGCTCACGTACCTGATTCGATTAGTTTAGTCGAATTGTCGTCCCTGGCCGACATGCTGGGATTAGAGGGCTTGAAGGAAGTCGTCGAGCATGCGCTCAAGCAACGTCATTGCCATAATTTTCATAAACCATGCGCTGGTATGTACATAAGTTAACCTGTTTTGTTTTTGGAAGTAAGTGTGTACAGTGGCGGGTAGTTAAACAAAAACTACCCAGAATTTTAATGTATGACTACTTTTTTGTAGTTTTTCATGTGATATTTATCTATTTATCTAGATATATACAACACATTCTACTCCAAATCAATCATCATTTATAAAAGAATTTAACATTTTTTTCTGATTAAACTCTTCTCAACGATCAAACACAGTGGTAAATGTATCATTGGACCAACATTCTGAGACAAAAAAATCAGTTCTTGCAAAAGGTTCCGACTTAGTCTTTTTCACATATCGAGTCTATCCTAAACAAACTGCCATCTCAAACAGCTAATGAAATTCTATTTGAAACCCCAAAAATCCTTTATAAAATTTGAACCTAGTAAATCTAATATTACAAAGCCTGAACGCATTGCTCCCTAACATATTCTTTAGAAAAATATTTAGCTTCTATCTTAAAACCCTTTACAGGGAAACTAACTTGTTTTGTAGGTAATGCCTTTCTTTTCATTGAATAAATAAAAACCATTACATTAAGTCCAAACGATATTCTGGTTAGTTTCGACATAGAATCCCTCTTTCCTAAGGCTGCTGAAACTCTCAACATTATTTGAGACATATTAAAATCCAAAAATGTGGAACCAAACCGTCTCATCTTAATTGAAAACAAACAAACGTCGGGAACTGCTATGGGTTCTATATTATCACGAGGCATCGCGAATATATTTATGGAAGCCTTCGGGGAGAAAGCCAACGACACCTTCCATCTAAATACAAAAATTATGGAAACGCTACGTTCATGATACTTTTGTTATTTTGCCTCATGGTCTAGCATACATACATACATACGTGTTACCTTTGAATTAGAATCTAATAATAATGTCCCATTCTTATGAATAGAAATTCAGACCTAGAGAAAACTTACGCACACAGACATGCATTGTCACCATCGTACCCAGAAATTATCGGTTATCAACTCTTTTGTTTACAGAGCCGTATAAAACTATCTCAACTCGAGTCGTTGAACTAATTTAAATTAAAAATCACAAAATACATTTCATCACAACCTTCCAAATACAATCAGTCCAAAAGCAACCCCACCAGGGGTGTGGGGGGGGGGGGCATAACTGGTGATTTTTATTAAGAAATAATGTCAAAACCAGATTTACCACTTGTCCAAAAATCTCTCAGCATCTGCGATCCCTCAAAGACAAAATTCCGTTTGAGATAGCGGAAGTTTACAGCATTCCATGCATATGCGGCAAACAATACACGACAAATAATCTCGTCAGCAGTTACCGAACACAATCCCGAAACCGGATCTAAAATTTTATTCAGTGAAACTAAAATTCTTGTAGTTTAATCAATTCTTTTAGAAACAACCGGACGGAAAGTATCAATTAGACTCAAAGAACATGCAACAGCCTTAAGACTACTACAAATTAACTCATCAGCAATTACAGCAAACCGGATATCAAATCTTATTCGATAAAACTAAAAGAAAAATCCGAGAATCTATAGAAATCTATAAGCAACCAAACAACTTTAACCGCGACTCAGGTCTTTACCTTTTTCCAATGTGGAAATCATTCATCGGAGACAATGTTCATGCCCCTCCTTTAGCTCTGCCCCCTCAAACAATATATAAGCAGGTAATGCTAGCTAATTTCAGTTAAGTTCTGAAGAAGCCAACAGGACGATTGGCGAAACGTCAGCAAGTTTTATTTATAAAAAATCGACGTAGGAGGAATCCAGAAAACTTTTAAACAGTTTTTTTTTTTTCAAAAATCAATGGTCGACAAATTAAAAACGAATTCTATCTATTTAATTTTTACAATAAAAAAAATCAGTATTTAGTAGGATAACCTTTAGCTTCATCTACCGCTGGATAGAAGATCCTTTGCACAGACATTGAATGGGATGAAATATTAAGCTTCTTGAATACCCTTCACTAATTTGTCCACGTTTTTAAGCTGCTTTGGTTGAATCATTTTCTTAAGATCATTCCACATATTTTCATTCGGGTTCAGATCTGGACTATATGAGGGCCATTTTATTTCATCAACGAGGTTTTGCTGAACCACCTTCTTACTGACCGTGCCCTATGTTTAGGGTTATTGTCTTGTTGAAATTTCTAGGTCACATCACATCATATGTCCATTATTCCATGTTCTTCTAATAAGTTTGTCCAAACCCATAGCATGACACACCACCGTGTTTAACAGTCGATTTTGTGACCCGTGGATTCAATTCTTCATTGGGTGGTCATTTCATATCTAATATCTACTGCTGTTACATGGGGCGACTTTGTCGGCAGAATGGTACGTATTCTCTTTTTCGGGTGTCATTCTAGAATCTTTCTTGCTAGGTTCATTTTTAACAGTATCGTGAGTATTATAATGTAAATCGTTTTTATTTATTTATTTTATTTTTAAATTGGTTGTATATAGACTTACAATGTACAATATATAATACAATATAGGCTTACAATGAAGTATTTTAGAACAAAATAGGAAAAACTGTATCATTTTTAACTTGCTGGCCGTCTCTAATTTGTAAAACGATTAGTTAACAAGTGTCTTTGCATTTTGTGTAGAGAATAGAGTGTTCAATTTGAAATTTGCATAATTATTTTTTAATAAAGTTTTCTATTTTATTCGCTAGAAGTTTCAAACTAACCAAGGCTTATCGTAGGGTGTTTTAAAATTTAATATCAAGATTTTCGAGATATTTTTGCATTTTAAAGTAAGACTTTTTCTTTATAAGCAAATGAATTTTCGGTTTTGTTTAGTAACTTTTTAGTACCTTAAAATTTATTCACATCTGCGATGTTTATCGAGAAAAAAAATTAAAATCATTTTTTGGAATTCACTAATTCTAATTGAAATATCTTAATGAAACAAAAGGTAAGAATTGGGGCTTGGCTGTTAATTTCATTTTGAGTTTTTGGTTGATATTCAAGTAGTAACATTGTTTTACAGTTATTTTGTGTATTCTTTTTAAACCTTGAAAATCTTCTATATCTATAATATATATACTTCATTTTGAAACACACTGTAAATCTATATTTATAAATTTTTATTTATTTTCCAAAACATAAATAGCGCAGCTAGACCTATTACACAGCTAGGACACTGAATCCCTACTCCCTTACATCTGCAGAATTCGCTTTACATAAGTAACATTTTTCTGGACTTTACTTTTAAGTAAGCATAGTGCCGTATTAGGTATTAAAGTTAGAGGTACTTATGTATTGCTGAAAATTGTGCCATTCTCTGATTTGGTTAATTTTTCTTAAAGAAAATAATTTGTTTTATCCATGATTATACATACATTCTTAATTATTATAATTATACGATTGGTATATTAGGAAATAAGAAACTTTTAATTTTTTATTTAGGTATGGTTTATATTTCCGATTATATAAAAATACTTTACATACTTATATTTAGAAGTTAAAGAACCTGGAAAATTATAGGAAAAAAATAAGTTGACCTATCTGAAATCCATTAAATTGTTTATAATATTAGTAGTATTGAGAATATGTTTATTTTAGTGGATCCAGATAAAATGTTACCTAAGAAAATTCAATTATAAACAAAGGAGTGTGAGTTCAAAAATGTTGAAACATTTGTTTTGATTTTTGAGTTTCTTTTAGAAGTATATTTATTAATAATATAGGGTTGATTTAACTGGAGAAATTAATAATATATTATGATATTATATCATATAGTATTTTTTGTAAAACCCAAAAATCGCGGAATTACATATTGTAAATTTTTTTTTATCAATATACTTTAATAACGTTTTTCTAGTTTGGCGGTTATCTTTAAATTTAGCACAGGTTTTTTTTAGTATTTTAGTCCAAATTTGACGTCAGACCCTTAAGATTAAACGGATACTCCATGTTTTTTACAAATTGTTAGAGCTCACAGTTCAAGGCGAAACATGAGTTTTGTTCAAACAAATTTAACAGTAGATTTTGACAGTGTTTTAAACAACTTACAAAAAATAACTTAAAACTATTATTAACTAGCTGTTAACTAAAAACTAAATTAAACTAAAAATGTTAAAATTTGCAAACAAAATTTTTTTTGGTCTCCTATAAAATCAAAAATATAGAGTAAAATTCCACTTTCACTTAAAGTAATGTGGTAGTCTAGTTATGATAATATTGGAAAATGTACAACGAATTTCCATTTTAAATATGTCTTGTAAACATTTGGTTAGCAGTCGTTAAAACTATGTTTTGTGCAAATAAACCATCAAAGTGTTTTGGTATTATTTACAAATCTTATGGATTCCTTCTGCTTTGCTTGTAGATAAATAGAAATAGCTGACGTATCGCCAATCATCCTGTTGGCTTCTTCATAGCTTAACTTAAACTGTAACTACTGATAAGTTTATTTGTAGTGGTCCTAAAGCTCTCATGTTCTTTTAGCCTAGTTGATATTTTTCGCTCAGTTTCTCTAATATATGATATGATATAATATATATGCATGTATTGTTGTACTTTTAACCAATCAGTCATCCGAGACAATAGTTAAGCTAAAGCTAAACAACCGACGAATATTTGTAAATAGTATTACAGTAGCTTGTGGAAGTTTCTTTGAAAAATTGAGTTGTTTCATTTTCCATACACAATTTAAAAAACAATTGTATGTAGCTCTCACTCTGTTTAGAAAAGCAAAAAAATCTCTTCTTCTTGCTGCACAAACGTGCCTTTATTTTCTCCCACTCATTGTTAATATGCTAACAGAACATGCAAATAACCAATCGAGACACTGCTGAGACGTTCTCTCCCGAAATGTGGAGTTAAACTAAGACTCATAAACATCATCCTAAAGTACCGAGGTGTGTGTAAGGTTCAGTTGTGTAAATAGCGTAGATAATAGAAAGCATAATGAGATTCGCAATTTGACAGGGTGTTGCACCGGAGTCCTAGAAGTCCTCCCTTTGGCGGCCGCTTACGGCCTCGACGATCTATATCAGAAGTGTTTGCATTGGATCACCCTGAATTTCGTGAGGGTGTGGCCGAGTCGCGCTTTCGCCAGCTTGCCGCGTGAACTTCGCGAAAAGTGCTACCAGCAGCACGTGATACACATGAGCCCTGACAAGGTGTGAACCTCCCAAACAGTCCTTTTTGCGCATCTCACTTACTTTTATACGCAGGTTTTAGAAACGATGGCAAATTGCGACAAAGTGCTAATCACGCTCCCGGCTTTGAGATGGGCGGAGCCCGTGAACCAGCTGGTGTTGCAGCTTGCGGACGCTTGTCATTTGTACCACAGGCAACATTTTGCGTCGGTATTGGCTTCACCTTCATTCCACTCTCTCGATTCGGGATTCGGATTCGGCGCGTGCCAAGTAGAGGATCAAATGTTGGCGGCCGCTAAGAACTTGAGCGCCGAGCAAGCTTGCAGGAGTTACGCTCGCATCTGCAAGATGGTGGATCAGCACTGGTCTAGACCATTTGCCGATTTGCTTAACAAGATCAAACTGCAGCTCGAACAGTGCTTAGTTAATCAATCCGACAGACTGATTAGGAGTCACGCTTGGCTCAGATTAGATACAGCATTAAGGTGTGTCGCTTGTATTTTATTCATAATTATTATTATATTATAATATCAAAACTCGACCACTTATCATTGCTCTGATAAGTAGTCGAGTTTTTGATATTATACTTTCCAACCTAAGCGCTCCCCAGAATTAGCTCTGACTGGGTTTATAAATTATCAGCAGCTTTTTAAACGACCTCTCCTCACTTATTCATAAAAAAAGATTGAAAGCATTTATTTTTGATAATGAGAACAATTTTTTATTATAATGAACTTGACTGCCACTGTTTCTTGATTATTTAGATTGGTGTCCATAAGTGTTTGATGTTTTTATTTTATCATGATGAAATTAAATTGGTTAATAATAATAAGGTTGTCGACGATTTTGTGAAGATCATATACATATGCTCCATTTTTTACAAATCATGATGAAAACACTAAATTACCATTGCTTTCAACATATTTCTACAAGACTTACTCAATCTTACAGGAAAATAAAACGGAATATGCAATGGATATGATGTACCTCAAAAGGCATGGGTTTTTTTTGTTGTATATTAATAATATAAAGGTGGACACGACAGTCTTGGTGCTTCCATTACTTGTTGCAGATGATATCGTTTTCGCTTCACAGGAAATATGTTCAATAAATCTAGTCCATTTTTGTGCTATTTAATAATTATAGCAATTTTAGGTTTTTTGCTACGTTGCCGGAAGTAAATTATACTTGTGTAGATTTTGTTAATGGGAATTTCTAATTTTTCTTTTCTTTTTTTATGACATAAAACATGTCTATTTCTATAAAGAAATTTTTTGTTTGGTATTTATCGTGATTTAACGCGGAATGTCTCATTAAGAAATGTCAAATCATTTTAACGATAAATTCATAGATTTTCCCAAAAAATCAAATATACATGATTTTTGTACTGATCAAGCGTACAGAATGTGTGAAGTCAGCTTCATTACTCAGAGTTGCCAGCCATTTCGAACTCTTTACTACTTTAGTTACGGCTTTGATAGTTATCGGATGTTTTCGGTGTATTTGTCAAAATTTTTGTTTTTCAGCTCTGACAGAGAATAAATTTGCGTTTTTTTGCAAAAATGTGCCAAAAAAAGGGTCATACAAAAAGTGTAATATACAATTGTTGATAAAAAAAAGGGGTAACTTTATCTCGTGTCATCTGGTATATACATGGTTGCATTAACTCAATCTTCTCGAACAACATGTTACTCTATTCAGCACACATATATCTTGACTCAAAAATGAAATACTAAAGCAGTTATTATTTTGATTTTCAGGACTAGAATAAAGGAACTGACTCCTACCAGTGAACCTCAAAGTCGACTACCTCGTGCCATGCCCATAAGAAACAAAAAGCTGCCTATCACGCATAGTCCGATGATCTCGTCATCAGACTCTTCCAGAAACTCGAGCCCGGCGACCAATCAGCTAGGCAAAACTAACAATAACTCCGGAAGTCCGTCGCTTAGGCGAAGCCTGTTGTTAGCGGCAAAAACTCCCCAAGTACCTCCGAGTCCGTCAGCCAATCGCAAAAGTACACTCACGCAACCGACGGCCGCTAGCGCGGCGAAGTCCGCTTCGTGCAGGACAGTGAGAACAGCGCCGCCGTCGGCGGTAGTCCAAAAAAATTCCCCTAGGATTTCGACGAACGGCCAAATCAGACCGTCCTCGTCTCACGGCTCAATGACCAGCAGCACTTACAGTCAAAAGTCGGTACCGTCTAAGCGGAGCTCGTCGTCTGTATCGCGAAACTCGAGCCTGGGCAAGAAGGACATGCCTTCCAACCTCTCATTTCGGTAAGCTGTTGTAATATAGTGACCCAATAGTAGTACAAGTTTGGAGACAAAACCTAATGAGGCAGTCGACCAAGCAAAATTGTAATTATTTTTTGAAGTTTATATATCCATCACTATGGCTGTGTTAAAAAACTGAATTTCTCTTGTAAAACTCCCCGTATAGATGCGAGAATGCTTAAATGATAAAAATAATTACAGTTTCTGTAACTCCAGAATAACTTGACGGAATTTCAAAATCTAAGTTTTGTTTAAGAAAAACAGCATTATGAGATTGATTAAGTTGCATCAGATAATATCGAATTGCAGAACATACAATTCTTAAATTGACAAACAATTCTTTGCTGTTATAAAAACAATTGATAACTAAATGTCTTTCAAATTTTATCAAAAGGAAATTGTGTAAGGAGTATGAATTTTTCTGTCGGAACACTGGACAAAAAAAAATTAGTTAATGTTTCTTGAACAAATCTGATTACACTTAAATTGTTCTTTTTCACCATTTTTTTAGATTCAATTAAAGAGGATCTACTACATAATCATTGAATTCACTGATTTCCCCTCAGACTCCTTTCAATGCATGTGCAATATATCTCCCATATGAGTCAGTTGTTTCATCAACCACAAGATAAAAATAATTTTCACCCACATTTTTTAAAGATTATTTATAGTTTGCCTGTAAAGGACATTACAACATTACCTTTACATACAGTTGACTCACCCTTTATATTAAATTTACAATATTTTATCAAAAATGATCTTAAATTGGAATTGTCCATTTTTTTAAGTAATTGGCTTCAATAAATACCTTACATAAGTCCTCTTTGAACTCTGATTGTCCGCTATTTTTTGGTTTTTCTTAAGGGCAATGTTGTATTATTTGTGGGGAGGGTTCCCCTCTTGCAATTTTCGCCCTATGAGCTGGTGTTTTCCTGATTTCATATGATGATCCACAATAAAAAATTTTATCTGATGAATCTGTAAAAACATTAAAGTTGTTAACATTAACTACCAATAATTTGCCGAAATTTTCTATTATACCAAAAAAATATCTTTCTTTTTTTTTTGCTATATACTGCAAAATGTGAAAATATGGTTTATACTTACAATGTTCGATTAAGTTGTACAAAACAAATTGGTGCCATCCCAAGTGAATTCCCGATAGCCCTTTATCCACGACATATGACATTTTAACAACCATTGGACAGAGAGAAACACATTTCCCTTTACAAAACAAGATAATAAATGTTGCCTTTGCCATCGAACAAAAAAACTTTTTCTTTTACTCGGCATACCTTATAGTGTGGGTTTATCCTGGGTAATTCTATGAATCTATTCACATATAAGAAAGCAATAAAGTACCTGAGCTGGCAATACAAACACGTGTCTTCTCGAAAACGGTCGGACTATTACATTGAATAATAATCAAGATTTTTCTTATAAGCGTCTTTTTTAATATTAAATATTTAATGCGGGTGTACTGTTTTTTTACAATATGCCTCGAGAAACTAACGCCGTCAGGTTAACTGATTCAGTAGCAAATCAAACTGTCAACTTTGTTTTTTATTTTATTAGGATACATAAAAATTCCGACCATTATTTTATTAATTTAGATAAAAAAAACTGTTTCGGATTATACGGATGTCAAAAAAACACTGTTAAGATTCCCATAAAAATAACTATCACTACTATAAACTAACATTTATTTCCATTTTTCGGTATTATAAACGACTAATTAATAGGGTCTTTTTTTTCTCCAAAATTGCGCTGATAATACATACTTTTTGGAAAACGAATTATCGGAATTTTTGGACAATTTATGTTTGGAAAAACATCAGAAACTATGGTTTGTAGATAATCGATGTCCTGCGCCTTCTTCTGGAATTATTATTTAATAGTTAAATGGATAATTTGGTAACAAATGGAGAAAATACTGATCCGCAATGGCTTCCCCGTTTGCCAGATATCACTCCATTAGATTTTTGTTATGGGCATTTTTGAAAAATTTATAGGGTTCGATCATTTATTTATTTAATCTCGGAAAGGTTAAGAAACGCTTCGATAATTTATTTTTAATTATTTTATTATTTCTTCCTTCTTAATATGGTTTATTCGTAATTTGTTAAAGTTTGTAATGTTTTTTATGGTTATCTGCGATTACATGTTTTCCTTTATTACTAGTAATAATTATTACTTAAAATACAAACTTTGCTATTTAAAGGACGATTTCTTAATATGCCTATTTTAATTATCAATGCTTTGGCTACTTAAAAATAATTTTTATAAATTTTTTGACTGTTATTAAATGTGGCTACAAAAGCTTGTGTTTCATTAAAAAAATAAAAATCTGTGTTAATTTTACAAATAAGATGGAATTGGAACAATAATTTAATATATTGATTTTGAATATTTTGCGACAGTATTTAAAATTATTGAAAAAATAATAATAATAAATAAATTTATCTTAGTAGGTCCTGTTTTGATATTAAGGCATAACTTTTAATTATGAACAATTTTCTTAATAACATCTAGCTCAATTTCTTGAAATAAGAGTGCTTTACTCTTGTGCGATTGTTGTGTTTTTTGTCCTAGTCTGTATGCCGTTTGACCTGCAATTATTTTAAGTGCACCTAATATGATTATGGAACATGCACTTAGCGCAGTTAGTAAAAGAAAATCCCTTTTACAAAGCTTCTGGATTCCACCTATGTCGGTTGTTTATAAATTAAACTTGCTGACGTTTCGCCAATCATCCTGGTAGCTTCTTCACAGCTTAAGTGAAACTGACTCGCATTCTGCTCTATAAGTGCTGCGGCGCTAAAGGAGAAGTATGAACATTGCCTCGGATTCTCATATTGGTGAAAGGTAAAGACCTGAGTCTCGGTTAGAAATGTTTATTTGCTTATAGAAAATTGATTACATTCAAGAATTTTTGTTTTATTGAATAAATGTCCGGTTTCGTGATTGTGTTCGTCAACTGCTCATGAGATAATCAAACGGAATTTTGTCTTTAACGGATCGAAAATGTTGATTTTTGGACAAGTGGTAAATCTGGTTTTGGCATTACATTTCTTAAGAATTTATGATATGTCTTAGCCATTTAAACTATATATACCCTAACATACGATTTATTTAATTTATTGAATTACAAACTAATTATAATTCTTTGATATTCCGTAAAACTCTCTATCGGAGTCACTGAACCCAAAATATCTGCTCTTGTCTCTAATAATTACCACATTAGAGATATTAAGCCTTTCACAAAATACACTTCACCACAACCTTCCAAAGACAATGAGTCCGAAAGCAACCCCACACTTGCCGCTGTTGTCCTTCCTTATATTCAAAACATCACTGCCCACATATCTAAAGTTCTTGAGAAATATAATGTCAAAACCAGATTAACCACTTGTCCACTATCCATATGCGGCAAAGAATATATTGGAGAGGCCGGACGAAAAATATCAACTGGGCTCAAAAAATAATCACGAAACCGGTCAAAAAATTTTATTCGATAAAACTAAAATTCTTGCATGTAATCAATTCTTCTGCCAACGAAAAATCTGAGAATCTATAGAAATCAAACATTCTTAACCCCGACTCATGTTCTTACCTGTCACCAATATGGGGGGAATCAGTCATCCGAGATAATGTTCATGCACCTTCTTTAGCTCGGCCCCCCTCAAACAACATATAAGCAGGTACAGAGTAAAATACGAGCCAGTTTCACTTTGGCTCTGAATGAGCAAGTTTGGCCACGCTGCTACCCCTAGTTTTCAATGAAAGGTAAATGCAAAACAATATATACATATCTGTCTCTGTTGATTGGGTATTGCAGTTAGAATGTAATTGCAGGAGACCTGAAAGTCGATCTAATTCACCTCTCAGGCCCGATAGCAGGACCAGCTCGCCCAGAAAGCACGACAGTAGGGTAACGTCACCAATAAAGGCGAGCGTCGCCTCGACCGTGAGAAGCGCGTCACTGACCCCGAGAACTGTAAAATCTGCGGCAGCCACTTTGAAGGCTAAACAATCCACTACAGTCACAAGGAATTCGCCCATCGTTACAAAAATAGACAACAGGCCAAAACCGCCCAGGAGACAAAGCAGTAATGAAGGTATTGTTTTGAAAGGGAAAAACCCTAAAAATAACCGTTTAAACCTTGTCGCTCTACGATAAACCGTCGCTTATGTAAAAAGTAATAACAGTATGGCAACACTAACCTACAATGCATTATTAAACAAAAAGTAGTTAAAAACATTTTTGGAAATTAACCGCAAACACTAAATTTATTGGGTTGTTCGGAAAGTCATTTCGTTTTTTTTGGGGAACATGAAAGACAGTTTTCGTATAATGAATAAATATTTTATTAAATTATATATTGGCCGTTCTGGTCCGACACCTTTTGTCATCTTTCTGGCAGTAACATAATTCCCCTCTCATAAAAGTTTTGGTCCTTGCTGGCAAAAAACTGGTTCAGGTGGTTTTTGACATCTTCATTTTCGACCGGCCTTCCAGACCGTGGTGCATCTTCGACATCAAAATTGCCGGATCGAAATTTTGCACACCAGTTCTGGCACTGGCGTACTGTTAACACGCCTTCTCCATACACATCCGTCATTTTTTTTCTCGCTTGGACAGCATTTTTACCTTTTCTGAAGTAAAAAAGTAAAATATGACGAAAATGCTGCTTATTGCTCTCCATATTTAAAAGGGCACCAACCAAAAACTACTGCGTAGAATTAATAGAACTTTTTCACACACAAGCCTTGCAATATCAGCTCTCAAGACATATAATGGTTATGCGGCTTAAGTGTGAAGTTGGTTTCGAAAAAACGTAATTAAGTCCTCTGACGGGAAAAAACGAAATGACTTTCCGAACAACCTTATAGTTTAGTTTAAAGTTTTAAAGTGTTGTTATTATACACTGAAAGAAATAGAATTATTACAAAAATAAAGCGAACATTTTTAAGTTAAAAATATAACTGACTAACCCACATAATAATTATAGGCTCTTAGTATGTGACAAGAATATACTGGCTTAGAAGAATATACTTAGAATATGCGTTTCTTTTGCATTGCGCAGCTCTTAAGAATATGCTACCGACTCCCAACTTCATATTCTATTTCCTCAGTAAGTACTGAACAGTATGTTAAATGGTATATGCATAAAAGTATATTTGCCATAAATGCATTAACAAAAATAAATGTTTTACAAACCAAAACTTTGTGTTTTGTAAAAATAATGTAAATTTTACAATGTCAATAAAATTACTACATATTTGCTTAAATGTGAAACCTAAAGATAATCAACACTTCTCAAATAATGGCAGAAAAAAATGCAATGTTGGGTTATAATTTTTAAGAAAATCACAAATTGTCATATAAAATATGACTACACAGTGGTTTTCTACATAAGCTGTAAAAGATATTGACAGAATGAACGTATTCATAAACACTCTGGATATATTAGAAAAAAAAAGAAAAAGAAAATTGCTCAAGCCAAACTAATTTAAATTACTTAAACAATTGTAAAATAAATGAGTTTCTCAGATTTCAAACTGTGTTCAATACAATACATAGCTTCAAGCACTGACTTTTGCTTTTCTTGCTATTGTTTTTTCAGTTTTCAGTTTTTTCAGTTACCTCCGTTCCTTGCATCTAAATAAAAATCATTAAAATTGAGATATAACACAACTTCCGCCCACTAAGACAATAAATATATTACCTAAAAGAATCCTAGCGAGTTTTAACATTTTAAATGCGTTCTTCCCTTCGGCTCTGTCCTATGAAAAGGAAACAGCAATTTGATCGGTCAATGTCTATACATCATTTTTGTCACTTTTTGTTAAAAACGTTTTTTTTTTCCTGAGTTTGAGTAATTCAATTTTAGAAAAATATTTTCTTATAAAATATTCATAGCAGCGTAGCATAACTTGCTTATTCTTATGTCCGTCTAACCACAATTCAATATGGACCAATCCCCCTTCATCTTTAATGGAAATTTTTTCATCTAAACTTTTTTTATGATTCTGTCAGCTTCATCAGATTATGAGGCTAAAATCCCGGCAATTCTTGAACGCTTTTGCCTTCCTTTCCAAAAGGCGTAAGTAAATGGCTACATTGGGTTTACTTTACTTGAAAAATCTCCACCGGGCGATGATACACTCTAGACACTAAGCACAAAAACCAATGAATTCCGAGAACATAGAACAATGCTTATAAGCAATCGAAAATAACAGTCTTAGAAAACTAATATTCAAAGATACCACTACTAGTTTCAGTTAGTCTTGCTTATTTATTTATTTATTCTTTCAACGGTTTACAAATTCAATATCAAATCAAACTCACTTTAACAAAATTTGTCTTAATTTAATTTTAAAGCTATTTCAAGGAACGCCGAGGTAATCAATGGTATTGTATTGATTTACAAAAGGGACCAGCCTATTTAAGGGCATATTCTGAGTATGACTTCCTCTAAATTCTTTCGAAGGGACATGAAAATTAAAACTTGTCAGAATACAAGGAGAACCAATAGCACCATTTATCACACAAAAGACAAAAAATTAATCCAGATATTTTCTGCGGTGCTCGAGAGTAGCTGATTGGACAAAAAATCTAAACAATCTTTTTATTTAGTTTAATTAGATTTAAAAAAAAACTGCCCCGTGAATTTTTGAAAGAATATATTTATGTACATATATGGCTCTAACAATGTTATTCGCAGTAGCCCTGCTGTTTGATCAAAATTAAAAGAGTTAAATAAAATCTACTCAAACGAATATTCCAAGTAGAACTTTCAAGAGTATTGCAAGTACATAAATAAGTGGAACATACTAATTAATTTTGTGTATATTCTCAAAAGATATATATGTATGTATAGCCATCAAGCTATTTAATAATATAGTGGCTCTACTACGGAATAAATTGATGCGCCGTGGCCGGCATTGATATTTTGATAGAGAAGGGAATGATTTTTCGCACATGCCTCTACATTTCACCCACTAACGTATACTTTGCACAATTTTTCTTTCTAAACGATTTTTACACACCATACTTACTTTTCCAAAACATTTATGGAAATCTAGGCATATTCCCAGAAAATACTGCCGTAAAAATGCCGCATCCACACTTATTCGACGATCTGTCAACAGTCTTGTTTTTGAACATCGTCATTGGTTTAAAAATGATTGGAAATAATTGGATCTCAAAAATTTTTTGCATCTTTGCTTCATATGTTCCTGTATTATCGGCATAGGTAGAGCCTTTATATCTCTTAGTCTAGTAGCTATATGTTAGCTGAACTTTAGAGAATGTTTTTTTTTGTGTATTATAAGAACCTACTACCGACATTCTAACCCGTATATACCGAAAAGTATTTTAACAGGGACTAGTTAATATATGCGACGAACATTGGATGTCATATGGGAATTTTATAAAAAAAAGAAAATATGATCAGTCCAAAACAAACTGTGTTTAGGTAACAAAAATAACCACCGTGATTTCGCTCGTTTGTTATTTTTGACAAATGACGGGCTGTAATTAACATGTGAGCAAGACGTCTCTCTTTTCTGAAAAGTTGTTTTATAGTTTCGGCAAAGGAAAAATGTTTTTTGTTTGTTCGAACTATGTGACATATTTAGGTTCTTAAATTCTTATTAATGTGGTTAAAAGTTTAACTGATGGTGCTGTTACAAAAGAAACTACAGGGCTAATCGGCATGTCATGTATTGTGTAATTAAATTAAAGAATACTAATAATTATTAGTTGATATTTTTCTTTGTCATTAAAATCGTAATTGTAATTACAGATTCATCATGTTTTTATTGCCACAAAAATACCATCCAATAATTTTCTTTGGCAATACAGATATGTGGATGATGTTTTTGCTGGTTTCACTAGAACGGAAAGACAACTACAGTCTTTTTTTAATCATATTATTAAACTTTCTGGATTTAACTGTAATAAAATTACAGATCAAATTAGATTTTTCCAATTTCCATAAACCCTCTCACGCGCGGACACAGTAATACATAATAACTCAAATCACCCTCCCACTACTTACTACTTTCCACAGAAAATTTAAAAAAAAAATTAAATATTATGAAACAAATAGCGTTTAACAATGGTTACAACCTCTCTTTGTTAGATAAGATTATAACCAAAAAACAGATAATTCTTAACTCTCTCCGTCCAATATTAAACAAAGAACCCAAAATTTATCTATTTATATACAATAGGCAGGCACACACTTGACACAACCAAACCCGTGAAGTACGATATCCCTCGTTCTGACCCCAAAAATTGGTTCGTTGTGTATGAAGTAGAAGGGGGGAGAGCTGGACTACTTAAATCGCTAACCAAAACTATGAATAAAATTGGTCAAATGAGTTGATTTTTGAGACAGTCTTATTTTTATAACGTAATACACTTCTTTTAAAGATAATTTATTTTGTTTAAATGTTACAGAGCAAACAAAACCCAGTGTTACAGTGCCCACTTTGCAAAGATCTGGGACATTTGTTAAGGAGGAGCCTTTAGTTTTAGGAAAGGCGGTATAATGCATTCCTTTACATAGTCTACTACCACAATTGTAACATTCCACAAGACTTTTTTTTTCTAAAAATTGCTTGTTAGTATTGACTGACATTGTTTGGGTTAACAATCCCATTGAAGCTTAATACTACTCTCGGGATTTTTGACCAAAATATGTTGGCTGTAAAAAAAATGTACCATAGACACCTACAGTTGCCCTAGTCAGGTTAGTAAGTATATATACGGATCTCTATATTGTATTAGTATTTATCGTTTTTTTTGTGATACTTTTTTTGTCTCAAATGCCCAAAACTTACAAGTTTTTTTGCAACATTTAGGAACTATGGATAAGTTAGAATATGATTTATTTTTAAAATTAAGTTTTTTACCATTTAAATCGAAATATTTTTCTATCGTTTTGTAATGTGATCATTAAAAACTGTTTATTCGTTTCTGTGATTTGTAATTTAAATAAATAGGTTTTAGGATTTTAAGAGGTACTAATTTTAAGTGCTATAATAATTAAGTGTAATAAAAATCAAATATTTATTGTTACAGTAAATTCATATAATTAAATTTAATGAAGGCTTTAAAATAAATGGTTTTAATGAATTTTTTATACGTTCGCTTTTTTTCCAGCTGCATATCCGTTCCCACCAATTAAACAATGTTCATAATTTAATTTTAATGTTCCATCTGGCTTGAAAAAGAAAAGGAAACTCTTTCGAACTACCCGACTGCGTTAGAAATATTACCGACAATTCTTGTAAATGCGGTTTTTAAAGGCGTTTCGTCAAGACACATAAACATATTAAAATAAACTGTTCATTCTCTCAAAAATACCAAAACTATTGTCAAAAATGCGCAGACTCGTAGGGATGAAGAAATATAATAAGGGCTCAACAGTGTTTCCTAGCATGTTATCAGCTTCGCACATTCTTTTTTCTATTTCAATCAAATGTTCGACGCACTTAGTTTGGGCCTGTGCCAATTCCAATTGTATGAGGTTTATTTCTATTACGGAAAGCGAAGTACCGTTATATTTCCTTTTGAAGCGATTTCATCGATAACAAATTTCATACAAAGCGGTTTATTCAAATGTACAATCTCCAGTAGCTCCTTTCTCAAATTGCAAGTAAGCCGATAGTTAAGTGGTAGCTGGTAGTATCCATGACTATAACAGAATCAAGAGAAATAAACATTTTCCATTTACAAGAATGAATTTTGCCAACTGCAATTAAGTAAATATAATTCTAATTCTAAACACATGTAAATCCGTCTATCTGCCATTCTTGGGACTCTTGACAATCATCATCGATACAAACAATACCACTCCTATGGAATACGGCTAACACCACTAAGTTTTATGGTTCAATAATGATAAGACTGGTGCTTGAGGGGAAAGCACCTTAAGATTCTCTGCCCCCTACAAAAGGACAATAAAATTGGACTCTACGAAACCTGCTTTGAATGTACAGTTCTTACACGGATTATAAGGTAAAAACCACCATCAGAATTTTTTTGCAAGGATCATAAAATAAACAAAAATTACCCAAAATCATTTATTTAAACTAAGCATTTGAATACAAATTAATCATATGTGCTAATCTGGAATCCAAGAAACTTTTAAATTATTGAATTTGATTTAATCAAAGTTTTAAATTTATTTTTAATTTTTATAATTGGAAATGTTTTACAAACACATATTAAACCCTTAACGCCTAGTGCCAGACATACGGCCCCCACTATTTTGTGGCCAGTAATACTGAGAAATAAGTATGCTTCATTAGCAACAAACACCACATGTTAGCAATGCTGTAATAGGATATTAGATTAGTGCAGCCGTTATTTTTTACACACATAAATCTCTGGCTTGTCACAAAAAATGGTCAATATCCTTAGATTAGATTAGAGTAACTCGATTTTTTTTGAAGTAGGGTTCCTTATTTAATTTGGAGCACTCAATTTATCTAAACATTGCTTATTGGACCTAGGTGTAAATAAAGTAAATCAATCAAGCAAAACAATTGATCAATGAATTTTACATTAACCAAACCTGGTAATTTTGGGTTTGTGTATGGTAGAACAAGCTCTTTTGTTTTATCTTTTGTCTTCTCAGGGATCTGGATGTTCAGATGCTGGGATTCAAGTGACACAAAGTCCTTCGCTCCGCACATAATTGCTTGATGTCAAACAAATGAGCATTGGCTTATGAATGAAGTGATTTACTAGTAAAGAAATCATAAAATTATGCAGAAAAATGTGTGTTTTGTGCAAAAGAACAAACTCACATGAATTATAAATTAAAAAGAGTTACAAAGTGTGGTCTGAATAACGAATCTTCATCTTCTACAACTCAGTCTTTTATCATCATTACAAAACTCTTCGGGCAACACAATTTTAAAGAGGCGTTAAAGGATTTAATTAACTTAATATTAGACATCAAAGAGTGGTTTAATATTTTCTACACAAAAAGGAGAAACAGACTCCAATAGCAGTTGACGCACGCGGAATGCATCCGAAGAAAGTTTGCTGTTTATCGGGCGCAGATTTAATATTAAAATCAATTATCTGAAACCAAATGGTCAATAAGCAAAAATACTTTCTATTCCCGTAGCTACATACATGCTCGACCACCACTGAACCTTGACCCTCCCGGCCCCCCTCTACTGCCGCCTCTACCGCCACCAGCACCGCCGTCTCGGCTGACTCCGTATCCTCCTCCTCCTCTGGAATATCCTCCATCGCGACTACCACCTCTCCCTCCCCCTCGACTTCCACCACGACCTCCTGTGCAAAAAAATATGAAGATTACATGTGAATTCTCCATTGAAAAGCCATTTTGATGTGTACCTCTATCGCCTCCGCTAGAACGGCCGCCTCCGCCACTGCCCCAGCGGCTGCCCCCTTTGCCGCCGTAACCTCCGCCCCGACTCATCAACTCCGCAAGTTTCGGATTAACGACCTAGAGAGGAATAATGGTATGCAAGCTTTCTTCTCTTAATTACGACAAATGAACATACAGTCAGATAACAAAAGGATTTCCTGACTACACTACACATTAAATTGCTTCATTATCATAACCCCAAACAAAACAAATCGTTTGATTTGATGCTAAGACTTTGTCAAATCAATATAGTTGCTAGGAGCACGTACCACTACATCAACCCAGGACGACATACAGATTTGTAACTACAAAAATTAGTATCACCTGGGCAAGTCATGTTTTAAAAACATACTCCTTGTCCGCTGTATATCTAACAGTGAAAATACAGACCAAACGAAGTCAGATAGACCGAAGACAAGTACTTTGAAGCTAAAGACAAGAACTCGTTTAAATCAGCTGCATTCAACATGACTCTAAAAATACCCCTCTAGCAGCTGCAACAAAACTACACTCACATCGAAGAATCGTCATCGAACTTTAAGTCTCCCATTAAACCAAATTCAGTGGACTCTCGCATTCAGAGCACCCAGAGATAAAGCTCATTGAAAAAGTATAAAATGAGAACCAAAAACACTTAAACATGAATGTACAGACGGTATCTATCCCGAATTCTTAATTACCGAAAATACACGAAAATTTAGTTGGCACGCTTCTTCACAAACTAGCGAAATTCCTCGAGAATTCAAACGCTCAAAAGTATTAGCCATTCAAAAACCAAGTTAACATCCAAAAAGTTATCGACCAATTACGCTTGGGGAGATCCACGCAGTAATACTTAGAGATATCCGAGTTGAACAACCAGGTTTCAGACTTAAAACGTAGCTGGAACGACCACGTATTCTCAGTAACCGCATATATCGGAAAACGGCTATGAAAAAGAGTTCTGTTGCATTTATTAACCTGTCAGCAGCGAATGATACCAACTGAAAGGAATATATACAAATGATATACAAATTCTTGTAAACTTACATTGAGATTAATAAAAAACATGCTTCACGACAGAGTTTTTTCAGGTGATAATGGGAGCAGAAACCAGCACTCCCAGCAAGCTAAGAATGGTCTGCCATAGGGAGTACTTGCGTCATTGTTCACATACAGTTCAACAAAGCTCTAGCCACTCAAAATCAACAGAAGAAACCGAAGGAAATCTATTCAAGGATCTAAAAATAATGGGAGATTCTAACTAATGCTCCAAAAGCGGAAGTAACCTGCTTCCTTTTAAGCCACAAAATAGCCGAGAAAAAACTTAAAGCCCACTTTGAGAACAATTTATTCAATCACAATAAAAAACCAAAATACTTGAGTGCCACTCCTGATGAACCTTTAATGCACACCCGACTATAACTGCGGAAAAGCTGAAGACCAGAACATAACATTATTGTCAGATTGTCAGCTCTGGCTCTTACGCGACAAAGGTTGATGCACAACGAAACAACACCATGAGTATTATAGCGTAATCAAAGCGTATTAAGAGATATACTGTTTATGTATGTTGTTTTTGGGGTTGTATATTTAATGTTTAAATTTATGTGCCTCTCTTGTGTTAGTCCGTCCTTATTAAATCAGAAGCTTTTCCACGAATTGTGTTTTTACTTGGTATCTACAAGTCTCAAAAACCTAAACATACTACCCCATCTACGAATCAGTTTTTTGACAAACGAATACAGGAAGATACTTAACAGAAAACTTCAATATTATACTGAAGACGTGAACAAAAACCTACTACACTCTAGGAAACCCCAGCAAAAACCTCCAAAACATGCCACAGATGCTGAGTTTAACATCACAGGGTACAAAAATGTTCAAGAGTTCAGCTGAAGAACAACTCGCCCTGCATAACAGAATTGAAATATATCCAGAAAGACCCATTATAAGAGTCACAATGAGTAAAATTGAGGGAAAATTTATAGAAACAGAGCATGTAAAAGATCGTCTATTACTAGGTAGTCTAAAAACTTATGAGAGGGGTATAATCCCCATCATGTGACTTCAAATAACGCTAATAGTCAATGAGCGGCTTTGTGTGTATGAAAAAAAAGTATCATCCATACAAGATTACATTACTATAGGAGTTGAACGAAGATGATCCTGGTCGCAAACTACAGTTTTGTGAAACTATAGTGTTTAGTGATGAAGCCACGTTTTTTTAAAATTAGAGTACAAATAATCCTCTTATCTTTTCAATCAAAATCTTACTGGAGCCCAATATTTACAAGTTCTTTAAAATGACTTAATACCTACTCTCCAAATTCAAAGCAACAGGATGGTGCTCCGCCCCATTTTGCTAGACAAGTGCGTGAATATTTAAATACGGTATTTCCCAGACCGTGGATTGGTTTAAGGCGATCAATAGAATGGCGTGCAAGATCTCGAGATATTACTACACTGGATTTTTCTTGTGAGAATATTTAAAAGCAAAAGTGTATAAGAGAAAACCACAAAACTTAGATAATTTAAAACTTTACCAAATTACTCCAATTAAAAAAGGAATTAATCCAATTAAAAAGGAACTTGGTATCGACATTTATTTTTAACGCGTCGAAACGCCATACGCTGAATAAATACATAAATATTTGTGGCATTGATTCCTAAGGATGATTATTATTATTATTATAAATCAACCAGAGATTGAGTCGCTACCTACATTTTATCTTGCACAATTCCGACACCCAATGAAACACAGTATGTTTAACTGAGCTCTAATATGTGCCCCAGAAATATTGCAACCACCGTGACGTTTACCTGGTTTGCTTCTTGCAAGACGGAAACCAAATCCTTGGCCTGGCGCGAATTGTTTGGTGTAAAGAACGCATACGAAGTCCCGGTGGTGTCAGATCTCGCTGTTCTACCTATTCTATGAATGTAATCCTCGGACGAATTTGGATAATCGTAATTTATCACATATTTGATACCATCCACATCTAAAGAAAATTGGACACGTTAAATTGGTAATCTTGCAGTTCCTGTAAATTCTTTTTCAAACTGTTCAGATATCTCATATATAAAATTAATTCTTTTTATACTAAAAAACTAAAATTTAATAATCCATAGCATAACCCGCTGCCACTTTATCCATCGTATAACTTTCTGGCAGCACCATGATTTAGTTCGTCAAAGATATTATAAGTTATAATATAAACTAACAGTGTTGTCGATATTACTAACGAATACAACAAACGATCAAAATTGTTGCTGTGTGGTTATTTAAGGTTTACTGTGTTAATTGGTTTTGCGTTTTATAGATTTTGTAACGATAAAGCTTTATCAGTTATTGAGGATTCCCACTATATCTGAAAATTATCTAATTTTCCCTAAACTTTAAAACATAATTCCAAATTCCAAGATTTATTTGTTGGATCCAGCAGACTGTTGGTGAAGCAATAAATATGAAATAAATAACGAAATATATAACTGTCCTGTAGGGAGAAATTGACCACGAAAGGGAATATTAAACTACGTGTAAAAAGAATATTGAAAAAATAAACGCTAAGTTTTGAAAAAATATTACATCAATTTTATCATAAGTAAATGGTAAAAACTAAATTTTAAAAACGATTATTCTAGCCACACTAATTAATTTTTTTTTGAAAAAATTGTTACTTTAAATTTAATTTCTTAAACTTTCTTTTTATAAAAATTCCAAAAGTTGAGAGCGCAGGCAGAAAATTTTACGTGAATTTGGCAGAAAATTTTAAACATTGCTTTTCTCTTTCCTTTAGTGTTTTTTTGCGTTTAATATATTCGCAAATTTATTTTCTAATGGTGGCACTGCTGACAATAAATAAACGTGGCCGTAAGGAAATATTTCATAATATTGGCTGTGAGCTTTGGTCGGCTTATTCTACCGACCCAAGCGACAGTAACATTTAAATTGTAATGTCAAAATATATAATAATTGGGTCTTCAGAGATCAGATAGCTATTAGATAATATTGTGACGCCAGTGCCAAAAATTTTTACCACTAACCTGCATTTTACATCGTTTTCTCTCTGAACATTAAACGAGATCTCTTTATATTCTGAGAAAATACTGCCCTAAAAATGCGCATATTTTAAATGACGTGGTGTTTAATCAGCATACGCTACCAAATGCAGCAGGGCCAAGAGCTGGGAGGAGACAGATGCTGTGCAGTGCAACGCAAAATATAACAATGTATGGAGCACTTGGAGCAAAGCCATCGAGAAAGCAAAATACAGAAACAAAGTCCTTAGCGCACAAAGAAACATGCTTCTGCAAGTGGCATCAGCCTACAGGACGACATCCGCGGTTGCACTTCAGGTTGTGACTGGTGTCCTACCTATGGACTTACTTATAAAAGAGCGAATATATATACAAGAACACAAAGAACAAAGGGACAGAAAAACTAGGGCAAGACAAATATTCTTGATAGAGTGGTAAGACGGTGGGATAGAGAGACAAAAAAAGCGCAGTGGACTAAGAGGCTGATAAAGAATATTAAAAGCTTGATAGATTGTGTGCATCGAGATATAGACTATTTCTTTACACAAGCATTGACTGCACACGGATGTTACAGGGCGTATGCGAAGCAGAGCACACTATATTTGATTGTGACAGATGGAAAGATATGAGAAGGGATGGAAGTGATAAAATAGGGTACACACTGACGCCGGATAATATAATTCAAACTATGACCCTAAAAAAGGAATATTGGAATGAGGTACACAAAATGATCCGTGACATTATGAGTTTAAAGGAAAGAGACGAACAAGGAGGCAAAGGAGAAGCAGCACTTAGACCGACTGCCAGATGCACCTGCGGTTATGTCCACAGACGGTTCCGGGTGTATCGAACGTGGCGAAGAAGGGGGGGTTTTAGTGGGAAAAAATCCCACACGCTAGACTGTACGGGCCGGATAATGTCTTCTTGAAGACTTCCCCTCTCAAAAAAAAAAAAAAAAGTATACGCTGGGCGTTTATATACCCAGTAGCTATCCCGATCATAAATATCTTTTAACAAACCACAAAATACTTATAAGGTTACATTAATAAGAATAAAAGAAATTAAAATGATAAGAATTGAAAATTTAAACATACAGACTTTATATAGTTTAAGGCAGACTTTTCCAGGTCAACATATAAGTTTTCTCTTTTCATTTCAGTTCAGTGGGAACCCCGTTACGTATGAGAGAGAAACTCTCCCCCCAGCGAAACTGAAGGGTAATTTAAATTTAGCTTTATATTTTTATGGGCTGTATGATGGTATGCATATTACTGATTTTGAAGTTTCTGAGTAAGTTAATAACTTTATTGAGGGGCAGTTTGGTTCCAAAAAGGTAAGTCCACACGGGATGCTATCATAAACAAAAACTGGATGAAAAGCATAAAGTTACCAGGATTTTAAATGGTTAATCATGAAATTTTAAAGTAGTTGAGTGGTTCTAGTTCCGCATTTAATTGTGCAAGCAAGATGCAGTCCTTCAGTGATGAGAATGATCAAGCTTCTAATATGACTAAAACAGAGTCAGTTCTTTTCTCTTATCATATATGATATTGTTACTTGATGTGACAGTGTGTACATCACGGAGGTAATGATTGCCCCAAAAAGAACAATAACTGTTAAAAAGAGTACCATTTCCTATAGGGAGATAAAGATACTTACGGTGATTTCATTATATGTTTTGCATTGTGCTACTTATGAAAGAAACACTTTTAAACTTGTGCTAAAGTTCATAGTTATATCACAAGATCACCTAATAACTTGCGAGTTCCACAGCATATTTTGATTCGTATCATGAGAAGGAGCTCTGTAAGACTTATTACCAATGAAAGCAAATTTAAAAACAAACTAAAAAAATTGTGAGTGAGTAAAACAATATACTCCTTGGAAAAGTCTTTCAGAACAACTGAATGATTGCTGAGGGAATATATAAGTGAAGAAAATTTTAGTTCTTCTTACTATGTATTGTTTTTATTTATGATTCTTTTTGACGAAACTCATGTACCTTATTTAGGTAAAAATATTGTCGTGAATTTGATTAGAAAAAAATAATAATAAAATAATGAGATGTCAAGTCTGAAGAAAAAACAGTTTTGCTCTGTATATTTACGCATATAATCAATGTGTCAAAACAATTACAATCCATTGGTACTACAAAAACCAAAAAACATTCTGCAAACCGTTTTTTCATTATATTGCATAATTCCGACACCCAAGCATAGATTGTCCAATATGCCTGGGCTCTAATATATGCCTCAAAACAAATGAAAAAGAATTTACATATTATTTGCAGCATCACGGAAACAGACTAAATAAAAAATAAAATTAAAACCAATACTAACCACATTCAGCTCACGGGGGAGTTCCGCAGTATCAATTAAATTATTTAGCTATAGTAGCAATTGTCTGTGGCTGCTGCAGTGGTATCAAACACTCGCTTTGAGACACTGCGAGACCGACAGGATGACGTTCATATTACAGCTCGGCTTGAATTAAATCTCGACAGGTACACGTATAGCCGAGCTGGTACTTGACCGTTAGTTTGTGTGGGAAGAAAGAGTAACTCAGGAAGTGTGGGGGTTAAACCTAATTGTGTAAGCCCGCTTTGTAGAGTGGTCAAAACATCAGACTTCCCATCGGTCTTCTACCCACAATGTGCGCTCTACGTCAGAGCGGGGTAGCCAGCCAGAGGCACCCGCAAGACACTAAATTGCATCCTATTTTAAGAACACAACTATGGCGTATTCATTTACAATGTATGTATACATTTTTGTTTATCTCAATTATGTATTTATAATGGTGAATACGCCGCTCATCCTGCTTGTGCCTCTGAAACAGAAAAAGGATACCCAGACTGATTAGTAATCCTAGCAATGCGACTGATATCAAAATCAAATAAAGGAAATTCCGGGTGTATTCATTTGCAGAGATCACCATTCAATTGAAAAACAATTTTCAAAAATTCTCCCACCCTAGTTTGGTTTGCTATCACCCACGCGAAATCAAGAAGTTTAGATTGCAGACCTTAAATTCCTAGCTAAAGCTAATAAGACTATTTTAACCCCAAGAGGGATCGAAGATTTACAGAAAGTGCTGGTCGGGCATCATTTTCCTAGGGTGGGAAGTGCTCCACCCGACTAGACTTTTTAGCTGCCCCTTTTTCAACATGTTGGTGAGCATTTTTATTTAGAAAGCCATGTTTAATGGGAAACTTTCTATTGGGTCGTAAACATATGTCAAGCGGGATATAGCTCGTTAAAAATCTTTCATTAATGTTCGTGTAATGTATCTGGTTATCTGATATAGTTCAAAGTTTTCAGTTATACATGTTCCAAACCATAAAATAACAACTGAGAAACCCTTTACAACATCTTTAAAACAAATACACAATTGAGGCCATACCCGCAAGATATAGTTTGGACTAAATAAACTTTTAATTATGACCAACAAGACTCGTCATTTTCTGGTGACTTTCTTTTTGAGAAAGATTAAGTTTGTCAAGGAGCGGACTCAGGCAATACCAATATTTCAAATATTAAAATCTTTTAAACATATTTCAAAATCGTAAAGACACACATAACAAAAAAGTTCAAAAAAACTATAGCACATATCTCTTAGAATCGCAAAAACAGAGCAATAAGCATCCCAATAGGTATCTGTTTGTCTAAGGAACGAAGAAAAAGGAAAGAAATATATATTAGTTTCAATTAAACAAAGGGGTAAATCAAGTTCTGCCTGTGGTCACAATGAGTTTGCCTATAGTCTTCAATTTACTGGAAGAATGGTAAATGCAATAAAAGTTTTGTTGGTCCAAAGTACAAATACTAGAATGGAAACTATAGAGGCGCAAAATATAGTAAAACTCTTACCTCCGAATATATTCTGCGCAAAGGGCTTATGGCCGATTTAAAAAATATAAATTTAGAATTTTATTGTTCGTTTAAGAAAACAGTGATTGTTATTATCTTTATCAAAATCGGTACTTGGTATATGGGCCCTTGTTCCGAGGTTGACCTCAATTGATGATTGACCTTAAAACTTTCATAAACATTGCACTGCAAAATTAATGGGAGCTGATTTGGACCCAAGTTGGACTGGGTCGAACGGCTAGCGAGTGGTTACAAAAAGTGAAAACAGCATCCACTTATTGAGAGTTATACACAAATATTTAAAGCTAGAACTGAAAATTGGGTATTTTGCAAATATTCACTCAGTGAAAATTTGAGTGAAGGTATTGGGCATGCTTTGTTGAATAAGTCTGAGGTAAAGATCTTTTGGAAAAAGACTTCTCACATCTAAAGTTCTTTACTTTCTCTGTGATGCCATGCGATCTGGATGAATTTTTAACGAAACATTAAAACATGACGTTGTGTAATTTCAAAGAAACTTCCACTGTAATACCATGTACAAATCTTCTGGATTCCTCCTGCGTGGGTTGTTTATAAATCAAACTTGCTGACGTGTCGCCAATCATCCTATTGGCTTCTTCAGAGCTTAACCGAAAACCACTTATGCTCTGAAGAATCCAACAGGCGAAACACCAGCAAGTTTGATTTATAGACATCAGACACAGAAGGAATCCAGAAGGTTTGTAAATAGTATCTGTATCGATCTATATTTTAAGTGTGATTTTACTTTTTTTATTAAGAATCCTTACTGTGAATTGTAGCGTCTTAGTAAACATACTATACCGGGTGATACGAGAAAGTGGGAACACTATATAACTTTTAAACGGCTTGAGAAAAGAGATTTGAAATTTGGAAAGGTTAATATAGGGTGAATGTCCAATTTTTTGACAATATGTAGTCAATGGTTGCACTTCCGATTTGAGCGTAAACGACAGTAACTTTCGAATTTTAAATGGCACAATCTTTTTTTTTGCATTTTTCGATTCAGGAGATCATTCCTACGTAGGATAGGACGGTTTTTCTCTTTTTTTTTCGGTTTTTTAAATTTTTATTTAATTTTTGAAAATTGTATCTAGGAAGCTGTGATCATCACAAATACTATTTATCGAGTCACCTGTTCATGGAAAAAATTGTAAATGAAACCTTTCTATACTTGTCTATTGCAAATAGCATTTAATGCAAAGAACCATTAATTTTTACGGAAAACCTAGTTTTTTCGAATAGCACCCTCGCGGGAACAAAAAATTTTTAAAACCGTACTTTTTTTGCAACAAAAATTTTCAAAATCCGTTAAAAATAAGCTCACAGGAAGAAAAAAACCAACTAAGTAAATACATTTTTATAAAGACAAAATATTACTTAGGCGGCTTTGCTATTCATCATTAAGTCGGCATGATTGAAAATTCTGACAGTTTGTACATATTTATCTGTACATTGTTCAATTGTATCAGTACCCTCGTTTGGATACAATTTTCTAAATAAAAATATATTTGACATTGACCATTAATTATAAAACAATAAAATTAAATTCAGTTTCCAATCTGTCTCACTCTTAGAGTTATTAAGACATAGCTAAATTAAACTTCAAAGAAGATGCTGCAACAAATGGACAATCAAATTGGACCCCGTAAATAGGACAAAAATGTGCAAAAGTTCATGAATGTTTAGTCAAAACAGAAAGACTCTCTTTTTCCAAAAGCAAAATGCATTATCTTGTCAACATACTTACATATAGCAAAGTCTAAGAAGAAGTAAGTGTAAACTTGATTTGGTTTCTTCCAAAGCAAATCAGAATCAATTCAGGCTGCGATAATTTGTACATACATACTTTAGCTATTTTGGAATATCACATATGTGTTGAACTGGGTCATACCTACCACTAAAGACTTAAAATGTTTTCCATATGGTGATCCACACATAATGTCAGTCATTTCTAACTTTCAACAATTAATAATTTGGTAACTGCAATCAGGGCAACTATTTATTCTCTTCAAACTACATGAAATATCATCACAATGTTTATCATTGTCAGTTCATCAGAGAACCAGTCTGGTAAATCCTAAGATGCTACTATAGATTTCTCGTTAGTCAGTGATTCGTTTTAAATTCAAAATGACCTACCACTGAAATTAAACAGCAGTTCACTCGGGCTATACTCACCTAAACCCCGTGCAGCAACATCTGTTGCCACCAAAATTGTTGACTTGCCGTCGCGAAAATCTTGAAGCACATAGTCCCTCTCTTGCTGACTCTTGTCTCCATGCATGCATAGAGCAGGCCAGCCATAACGTTTTATGCCCCTAGTGATTGCCTCAACTTTCTTTTTTGTTTCCACAAATATAATAATTTTTGCTCCCATCTCAGAATTATTACTGATTTCTTGCAAAAGCTGGTTTAACCTAGCGCACAAACAGAATTAACACAAAAATTACAATTGTTTACTATGTCTTACTTGTATTCCTTCTCATGCTCCTGACAAACGTCGACGATTTGTAGAATGTTGTGATTAGCAGAAAGCTGAAGGGAACCGATATTTATCTGAACAAAATTATTCATAAAATCTGACGCAAGTTTTCGAACTTCTTTAGGCCATGTTGCCGACCACATTAAAGTTTGCCTATCTGGCCTGATTTGATCGATAATCTTTCGAATTTGAGGCTCAAAACCCATGTCCAACATTCTGTCAGCCTCATCCAAAACCAAGTAAGTGCATCTTTCCAAATTGGTTGCGCCTTTTTCAAGAAAATCAATTAACCTTCCTGGTGTGGCGATACAGATTTCCACGCCTTTCTCTAAATCTCGGGCCTGTGGACCTTTAGGGGCGCCCCCAAATACGCAAGTGTTACGAATATATGACAAACTGCCAAAATCGTTCGCAACTTGCTGAATTTGCTGGGCTAATTCCCTAGTAGGTGCCAATACCAAAACAATGGGCCCTTCATCCCGCAACAGACGTTGTTGATTGTTTATATGGACAATCGCGGGCAAAATATACGCTAAGGTTTTCCCAGAACCCGTCTGAGCAATTCCGACCATATCTCTTCCGCTCATCGCAATGGGCCATGCTTGCGCTTGAATTGGCGTAGGCGACTCGTAACCCTGTCTCCGAATCTCCTGCATTACGTAATCGGGAAAGCAGGCCTCATCAAAATTTTGAATGGGATTTGGCACGTCAGGACCGTCGACAGTTATTTCTTTGGCTCGCCGGTATGCCTCAACTTCGTAATGCGACCGATTAACAACTGCGGGATGGGGAACGTAAAAATCCTTCTTAAAAGGGCGCAAGGTTTTCGTTTCCCACTGTGGTTTGCGCAAACGAGCTCCACCACTTCCGCTTCCACCGCGACCGCCAAATTTTCCACCTGATCCACTTCTAAATCCTCCGCTTCCTAAATAGAAACATCAAAGACATATCTTAAGAAATTATTTTAATCAATATTAGAAGTATGACAAAAAGTGTGTTTACACTGTTTGATTTTCTATTTCTTAAAACATACAGTTGTCAAATGTATGATTAAATAAACGAAAAATTATGAACGGCTAAAATATGGAACCAATTCATTTAAAAATCAGGTATTGGATATCAAGAAAAATGGCGGCTCACGTCCATAATTTTTAATAGCGCATTTTTTGCAGTAAACAAAACATCTAGGGTGAGTCAAAAAGTAGATGTGGCTTGGTATCCACATCTACTTTTTGACCTTTTTTTAAATGAAAACATTTTTTTTAACCATTTTCGAATTCTGTGTCAAACTTTATACATAATTCTCTTGATGTAGAGGTAACAGGTAAGTAGCTAGTACCAGTAAATTTCCTAAATTGTTACAATTACATATCTGTCAGTAAAGTAAATTTTTATTTTTATTGGATATGGACACAAAACGAGAACTTAGAAAGTAACTTAGTATCTACATCTACATTTTTTATTGAAATCCAATACCTGATTTTTAAATGAATTTCTTTCATATTTTAGCTCATCAAGTGTGACATCATGTGACGTCAGAACCGACAAATGTCGAAATACCATCCGTAGACTATACATAAAACATCCGATAGCTCCCTAACCCGTGACTAAAATATCAGCAAAGCCCCAAGTGCCTTGCGAGCAGTTCTAAAATCTTAAAGTGTCACTTTCCACACGCCTGATCCCCGCATAATTGGGTATTTCGAGCAGGGAGTAGAAAACTGAATATAATGGGAGTCGCAAATGCTCAGATAGACATGGTAATAGGTGTTCTTTTAGTTGGTAGTATGTGACAAATCAAACACAAAATAAAAAAGATGTGTGTTATGGTTTGAAAAAGGGGGGAACATAATATAATTGCTATTTTCAGAGACACAATACCATAATATAATGATTTCAGTTATTTAGTTTGGCTACAAATTACACAGGATGTTATTAGAAAATTGTGGCGCATATTTCGCTAACACGGTATATCTAAGATGCAGTAAGGTGCAGCTGATAATTCCACGGTTACGAAACAAGGTGGCCCAACGTAATTTGTAGGGACAGGCTGCGAGAGACACTACTGTCCCGCGATACTTAGCAATCGACATGTGTGAAAGTGAAAATAAATTTCGTTTGAAAAAGTAGTCCTCTATTTTTGTCAGTTTTTATTTAAACAATAATCCTATTGGATAATATATACTATATACTACCCGCCAAATCTTGAAAACTGTCAATTTTAAATACAAGTTGCTTATCAATTTGCACTGAGGGAGTTGTTTTATAAATCTTAAAACTATAGTAAGTACAAAGACTGAATTTGTTGCAAAATTTCCAGTCATCCAGTGTAATAATATTTACCAAAAATGTATTTGTTAAACAACTAATGAAAACCAAAAATTTTGAGATTTTATATTCCAAGTTTATTTCAGCTATTAGTAACCAGTGCCTGTGGTACAATTCCATGTTTAGAGCCACATCTAAGCCACAATTTATGCAGCATACAGGTGCAAGATTAAATAGTGAGTTTACTCAACTTATACAATCATAATCAGTTGATCAGCAAAACCTGGTCCGCCACTATTATGTATTAGGCATCATTCCAAACCCAGTATTTATTCAGATTCTAATAGCTTCAATTACATTTAAAAATGAAAAACCAACTTGACTATTTGCAAATCTTGGGACTACTGACCTCCTCCTCCTCCACTGCTTCTGAAACCACCACCCCTTCCGCCGCTTCCGCTTCTAAATCCACCGCTTCCACCTCCCCTATCTCCGCTTCTGAAACCGTCTCCCGCTCCACTATCGCTACCGCGATATCCTCCTCCTCCTCCTCCGCTTCTAAAACCTCCACCTGTAGCACCAACTGCTCCTCCACTTCTAAACCCCCCACCTACGCCGCTTCTAAAACTCCCTCCGCTTCCCACGCCGCCCCTTTGATCCCCAAAACTTCGACTGGCTCCACTAGAGCCGTAACTATCTCTTCCTCCATAGCTATCTCTTCCGCCGCGAAACCCACCCCTACTTCCCTGATTGCTGTAGGACCTGCATGAAAAATGAAATACTAATCAAACAAGAATTACACCTCCTAAGGCTTACGGCTTAAAGTCAGTTTTGTCTTATTGCATGCATAATATACATATCATTCTGTGGTTAATTTTGTGTTGAACAAGCAATTCGACTAAAAAAGTTAAATTATTTTTTTTTTTAATATTGAAAGAGCATGCCAGAAAATTTTGTAAAATTTTCTATACTGCAGTTCCAGTTGCAGCATCCATTTTGTGTAACGCAGATCATTTTGACGCCGTTCATTCCCAGTCGTGCACAATATATGAAAATAAGGTAACAAGACAATCCTACGCCATACTTACATGTTAGACTACTTTTAAAATTCCTAAGTTCCAAAAAATTGAAAAAACGATTGGATAATTACACCCACTAGCAATTCCCACTCCACACTTGCGAGACACAACGCTTACAAAAATCACTAAACGGGTTTAACGATGGTGAGCATAGCAAAGTAAAATTATTGAAGAGAATCATGGAATAGCAAAGTTTATTTTGGTAAGGTAAATTTTATTAGACGAGCAGTAAATTTAATTTAAAAGTTATCTGTTCCGAAATTAGGTTACTATGTACTACCCATATTCCCTAGGAATATCACGATTTTAAGCCTGTTTAAGGAACGGACAGCATTTCATTTAAAGTCGAAATTTTGTAACAAACAGGTGTGAAAATTCTAAATAGTGAAAGACGTGATCCAGCTCGGAAAAAATACCTTTACTTTAAGAGATTTATTTAATTTTTCAATTTTATTTAATTATTTTTTCTTCCACAGGTTTCACCTGCAAAATGTGAGGAGCTAGGTAAATGCAGACCCTGCTTATGCTGATAATACAGGGATTTTTTAAGCGATAATGAAAAAAATATATAGGCTATTTAATACGGTGTTTAACAACCAACATGGTCGCTGACACTCAAAGTCAAACTATGAAATCTTGTTAAATGTTATGAGAAAATGATTTAAGGCGTGGAGATCACTGTTTAGAAAGAAAATGGCGCAAGGCGTGGAGATCAGTGTTTAGAAAGAAAATAGCCCAAAGTACAAGTTAGTGGTGAAATTTAGAAGCATGCGAACGAAACGAAAATATCACTGCCGCCTGCGCACCAATTTTTTACCGTAGTAGGTAGGGCCAGTTTTATCTAATAGCTAGGTCAAAGGATCGCACACCAAGATAGGCCTGAGAACTATTGTAAATATATGAACGATCTTCCAAACTGCCCAGCAACGGCAACACCGCGGGCGCCGTAAAAAAAAAAGGTCGACTGCAAAGAGGGGGGTCGGCGCTGGTTGAAGACCGAGGGATATTCGGAATTGCAACCCGTGCTAGAAGACGTTAAGCTTTATTATTCATTTTCATATGTTTTTAAGTTGTAAAATTAAAAAATAAAGTTATAGAAAAATACAATCCGCTCAATCGAACAAGAATCAACGCAGCAAATAACGTGGACCTACGTTATAACGCATCAATGTGTACAAAATATAAATAGTTACAAAAGCCAAAATTTAATTTAGACAGCGTGAAGACATGGGATAAGGAATTTATTCTGCATACGCTTCTATATCTCTGTACAAGCAGAAAGTAACATTGAATATCACATTGAAAAAATAAAGTACATGATCATTGCTTTTAATTATTTCAATGAAGTTACAACAGTAAGCTTTATTAAGGGTGAGCAAACTGCTTGATAAGTGGAAAATATCTCCTTTAACCATTGTTTTTTAACTCTGCATAATTCTTTTTTAGAGGAACAATTCCCAAAGGCAAACCTGAAATCGTTTTATATTACTACCAACACACTGTCAAGGTTACCAGTACTATATCCACTTGTTTTAATTTCTCTAATAATATCTTTGAGTCTCTTGATTTGGATATCTCTTCTTCTAAGTTTCTGCTTCAAAGTTTTCACTTTTCTTCTTAATTTAGCATAAACCTTGTTCGACCACTTTTTGATGGAGCACTGTGTACCCCTGTGTACATTTGTTGAAGAGGCTGATGCGGGGGTTGAAGTTGATGATAATAAGGTTTCTTCTTGGTAGTTTATGTCCATTGGTGCCTTATATATTTCCTTAAATAAATGTGTTTATCTTTTTAATAAAAGAATTAAATCCATATTTTTACCGTTTTTATAATAATTCTTTCAATATTTGTTGAAGACTGTTGTGAAGCAGGGGTTAAAGATGATAATGTTTCTTCTCTATGATTTACGTAAACTGACTGATCATGCATTTCCTTAAATATGTGTTATTTTTTGAATAAAATATAATTAAATCCACATTTTTACCCCTTTTATAATCATTCTTTCAACATTTATTGCAGAGGGTGAAGCTGGGGTTGAAGATGATGCTAATAATGTTTCTTCTCTGTGGTTTATGTCTATTGAGTTACTATCCAGTTCCTTAAATAAATCTGTTTAATTTTCAATAAAAATAATCAAAACCACATTTTTACCTCTTTTATAATAATTCTTTCAACATTTGTTGAAGAGGGTGAATCAGGGGTTGAAGAAGATGCTAATAAGGTTTCTTCCCTATGGTTTATGTCTAGTGTTTCATTATCCATTTCCTTAATTACATTTGTTTATTTTATTTAAAAAATATATACATATTACCTTTTTTATAACAATGATCTCAACATGTGTTGAAGAGGCTGAAGTATGGCTTGAATTTGATGCTAATATGGTTTCTTCTCCCTGGTTTATGTCTATTGGTTCATTATCCAATTCCTTCAATAAATGTGCTCACTTTATTTTTTTAATTAAAAAATAATTAAATCCACATTTTTACCTTTCTTATAATTCCTTTTGACGAAACTCCTTTCTTTACTAAACCTTTTGGGAAAGAAAAAATGCTAGGGATGGCATCAGGTTTTAATACCTTTTTTGTGGATCCTGGTCTAACTAGAAAGTCTGATGATAAAAAATGTTCAGAACAAAGTTTACTGCTCTTTGATGGCTTCCAGTCTTTTCTGTGAACAGCTTTAACCCAACGCTCAAGTATATCAAGACGATTAAAAGGAAAACTAAAAAAGTTGGTATATTTATAACATTTTATTAATTTTTTACTTTGTACTGTTATTAAATTATTGACATAATAAGTCTCTTATTATTTTACTTACTTAACTTACCCAAAAAATGATATTTTCTTTAAAGGGTTATATACATTGCTGCAACCATATGCAATACAAGAATTTACCATTTTAAAAATTGTTTATCAATTAATGCCAGAAACGATCACCAAAAATAGTCAAAATATCACAAATTTTCTAAATGGTTAAAATGATCTGTGAAAATTCCGTTATAAAAAAACAATAAGCAGGTAGAAAAATTAACAAACAATCCCTTATTGTAGACTGGACCTTATATTATTTATTAGACTGAGGTCGGAACTATCTAATCTTTTCAATTCAATTCAATAATGCGTTTCACTAATACAGTTTGGCATCTAATCTTTTCTTAATAGAAACCTAATCAAAGAATCTTTAATGCATTAACGTTTGTAGCTACCAAAATGTAAACCACAGAACAGTTACAAACTAAAAGTTACTTATCCACCATTATGAAAATATTCATAACAGCATTTTCAGCTGTACCAGTAACATAAATTAAGTAAGCGTAGATTACTAGTAAATAAAAATTGCCTTACTGAAATATATTTTGATCAACTACAGCTTACTATAACCAGAGCTTAACAAAGAACATTAGTAAGTTATAGTATAGTGCAACCCTGCAATTATACATATATTACAAATAATTTAAAGAAAATAAAAACGCTTTGCACCTCTATTATGATTATGACCTTTTTAGCTCTCCGTAATCATTGTAAATAATTCTAAATTTAAATTTGTATCGTCCGTCTTCGTTTTTTTTTTTTAAAAAAAAGGTAAAAACTGATCCGCGATTTGGTTTAATTATTCTAACCCGGACCTTGGTAAATTAGATTGTATATCTGCTAAACTGCAATTTCATTAAATCTTACAGATACCTTGAAATGTTAATTGAACTTCGCCCTTTCTCTTCAAGTTTCGCGTTCATAGCAGATAAAACGTTTACATCAAAAAATGGCGATGAATCGACTAGTTGGGAAAACGGCAATTGTTACAGCGTCAACAGATGGGTAATTTTTGAAACGAAATTGTTCACGGGCAACTAATATTTAGTTTATTTTTACATCAGTATTGGCTTTGCTATTGCTCAAAGATTGGCGCGTGAAGGTGCTAAAGTCATTGTAAGCAGCAGAAAATTGAAGAATGTGGAAGAAGCACAGCAAAAGTTGTCTCAAGAAGGACTGCTGGTAACTGGGTTAGTTTGTCACGTAGGTAAACGCGAAGATCGTCAGAAGTTGTTCACGGAGGTATTTGATTGTTTTGGAATCTTTTAAATGTCTAAGCAAAATGTGTACATAGGCAGAAAAACTAGGAGGGCTCGATATTTTGGTTTCTAATGCAGCCGTCAATCCTGAAGTAGGGGCTGTGCTGGACGTAAGTTTTTTACATGCAGTCGATAAATCGTTCATAACGACTTTTTAGTGTTCTGAATCTTCTTGGGATAAAATATTTGACATAAACTTGAAATCTTCATTCATGCTGGCAAAGGAAGCCTTGCCATTACTAAGAAAAAGTAAAGCGGGGAGAATTATTTTTATCTCATCAATTGCTGGATTTCAGCCATTTGAGGTTAGTTGTTACAAATAAGTTCAAATAATGATCATATTTATGGCTGATTTTATTTGAATGTAGTTATTGGGGGCTTATTCGGTTAGCAAGACATCTCTTTTGGGATTGACAAAAGCAGCAGCTCAACAATTGGCTCCGGAAGGCATCACTGTAAATTCAATTTGCCCTGGTGTTATTCAGACCAACTTTTCTGCAGCTGTAGGTTTGCACAACTATTAATTTTTTTTGTAAGCATTTTTTTTTTAGTTGACCGAGAATGAGGCAGCTAAGGAAGCTTCACTTTCTATGATACCATTGAAAAGGTAATCATAATGATTATGTTTTTGCTGCTCTTAAATTTAGTGATTTTTTTTAGAATCGGTCAACCACGGGATGTCAGTGGGGCTGTCGCTTTTCTTGCATCAGATGAGGGTTCTTATGTAACTGGAGAAAACATAGTGATAAGTGGGGGAATGCAATCCAGATTGTAAAGGGTATTTATAACACTCCAACCTTACAAACCATAGTTTTCACAAGATAATTTACTTTATTAAGGTAAATTGATTTTTTTTAACAATCCATAAGACAATTTTGATATTAAGCTTTGTAAAAAATATTGTTACATACTTCACAATAAACTATTCAATTTTCAACTAGTAGTAGTTGCCGTAGATATCTGATTAATATCAGGTACTTCCTCCTTTTGAATAATAATTACTTTCATTTAATTTGTAAACAAGGTCAAGTGCTACAATTAAAGCTAGAAATATTACACACTTTTCTTCAATATGGGACATCAAGATGATGAAATTTCTTATAAAATTAGTACAGACAGCTTGAACTTTACAATACACAGCTTCTATTTGTTAGACATGGCATCTACTTATTACTATAAGTTTTTGAATGGCAGAATGTTCATGAAAATGAAAATTTGACAATTGTCCAGGGAATCAATAAGCAGTGATAATTTTCTCCAAATATTGGTTCCAAAAAGTCTTTTTGCAACTGTTTTTTCTGTTTCTTGCTAGTAAAAATAAATGATATTTAGAAACTACTGCCATACAGGTCATTTTTATAAAATTATACAGTACACTACTTTTAATCCACAACTGCTGCCACAACCCTGTTTTATTCAAAACCATGTCTGCTCCTCTTCCACCAATTATAAATATAATATAAATAAATATAAAATTAACAACAATAACAACACTCATTGCTATCTTGTAGAAGACTCCATATCTTCATTGTTTGTCCCTTGAGAATATATTGGTCGACCCATAAACATAGGACTAGTTCCATTGACTATGCTGCCAGTTCGGCGTTTTGGAATCACCGTTTCTTTAACAGGTTTCTTAATGTACTTGAACACACCTTCTCCAGGGAGTCTAGGCAAAAGACTAGGGTGATTGAACCAGAGTCGATAAGTGAAAAACCAAGTCAAAATGGCTATGCAGCCACCTAGAAACTTTTCTATCATGACATGATAATATAGCATGGTAGAGACGAGCATTACATCCCAAAGTATTTGGAAAATAGTAATAATTATAAACAAACTCCTTATATAAATTGTGCACTTCTCATAGTTGGTATTCAAATTTTTAAATTCATTTTCACTGAGATTCCGCAAAGGATTAGAGTTTTGGTTAGTTTGTTTATTACTTCGATTATGCTCTTCTAATCTAATGTTGTCTTTAATGCTGTCCCAGTTCAATATGGACCTTGTCTCCTCAATCAAAACCAAGCTTCCATATATAAGTATAAATGAATGGCCGGAAGTATCAAATCCATTCCAAACATGTCCAGCTCGCAAACAAGACTCTTTCGTTCCATATTGTTTAATTCCACATTTACCAAAAGAGGCTTCAATATAATTAAATATATTGGTCCAAAACCACCAAAAAAAGGTAGCAATGGCTAACCTGGTTAAATGGTGGCCAACAATGCGTTTTATTTGAGCACAGCAGTAAATGTATGAGGTCAAAGTAACAAAAGGGAAGAGCAGAATAAGATTCCATCCCCAAGCAAACTTTACAAAATACTTATTGAATATGTTGTCTGATCTTGACAAGTATATCCTCGGAATAGAAGAAACATCAGCTATCAGTGAAATTAAAAATAAAGCTCCCAAGTAGATGATGACTTTGAGGTTTGTATCGAAAAACAATGATTTCTTACAGATGTAAAGTACCATTAGAGTGAATATTTCCTTTATGGAAGTCGGCTCACTAGTCGGTTTGGTGCCTTTGAATTCCACGTTCACGTCGCTAGTGGAAGGTCTGAAATTTAGTTTGGTGGTGTGTATGGATTTTCTTCTTGATGGTCTGCTTGCCATTCTTTATATAACTTCAAATATCCGAATTTGAAAGTGTTAATATTCATCCACTAGAATTTCTGTCTCAAAGTACAAAATATCATGCGACGTCAGCTCATATCAGCAAATATGCGAATTTCTTTCTAGTGACAACAACGACTATTTTCCAAAGTCCATTTTTTATGTATTCGGAAATATAGAAATATGTCTGACGTAAACCTACATTAGCCACAAAATCATTGAACTATTAATTTAGCGTTATGAAAAATAGCGGGCAAGATTGTTAGGATCGTTTGCCCATTTCCGACTTTCGTCGAGTATTATTTACATTTTCATCACACTCTCACACATGTCCCTGACTATAGATATGGGCGATGAGCGAGTGTTCATGGCAAACTCTTTTCAACCCATGTGCTATCAGTTGTTTACAAAAAAACAAATTAAAAGCATATCAAAAAAACTTCCCCGCTTCTCACAATTTAACAAGAAACGACTTGCGTCGTGCAATGCCAACCACAATTTTGGTATTTTGTATAATTTTCATCTACCAAATACTGCAACTTTTCCTATACTAAAAACATTTAAAAGTTTCTGAGTACCAGTCAAAATAGCCGGTTTGGTAGTATCATCATTAAATTAACTTTTACATTTTTCTAGGCTTCATATCTGTAACCTACCAATAGAAAGGAGATATAGGACCTAACCAAGTTATACTGTGAAACATCCTATTGAAAAATGTTTTGTAGAATAAATTTGAATTTGGGTAGTATTTGTAAGAATGTCACTTAAATTGCATTCGAACAATAATAATTATCAGTTGCTTGTAGCCCCAGTATATTTCAATCTAAGAAGTTTCGTAACTACACAAGCACATTATTTAAACCAAAAGTATCGGAAAGAAAAAGGCCTTCCTTTAAATCCAAACACCTCCAGCATTTTGACCAACACTCCCGATTACACTTTTCTCAATGGAAGTCTAGCACCACTTGGCGTGGGTCAACAGCGACGAATATTGAGGGAGAAAGAGGTAGTTAAGCAAATTGTTTCCCTAAGCAAGGAAATAGATTTTGCTGTTTATCGACATGAGCAGCTACAACGGGATGCTGAGAACCAGAAGAAGGAAATATTGTCGAAAAAATTGAAACCTAAAGGATACACTTTATTAAAACAAAGTTGATGTTAAGTTCTAGATTTTAATATGGTGTTTAATTAAAAATTAAGGCAACTTGTGTTGAAATTTTTAAGGTATACTTAACATGTAGATCACAATTAAAGATAGTGTGATTAACTTAATTGGTTCTCTTAGTACAATTTAATTTTAATAGTAGCACATCTTTAATTATTATTGACTATAGAATTTACTTTTTTAGTAACTATCAGTTGATTTCTCTTTGTCTAAATTTGTGAGATACTGTGGCCAGTTATTTTTAATCATATGACAAATTAAAAAGTTAATTTAAATTCTTAATATTGTGTATTACCTGCAATTAACTTTGTAAAAAGTGTCTCAATTATCATTAAAGATAGACAGTTGCAGGCTTTGAAATAGTATCTTTTTTTTTTTTTTTTTGAAACGATACTCAATCCAAAGAAAAAAACAGTATACATCCATGTAAAAAGTTGAAGTGGGGTCAGATAACTACTTGACCTGACAATTTATCAGCCATGAATTTTACACAAAAAGATATTAAATTGCAATATTGTCAAAAAGACACTCAAAAATGAAATCTCCAAGGGGAGTTTCATTTGTGCTACACTTTGTTTCACAAAAAAAGTAGCAAACTTTTGCTAAAACCACATCTTCTTTCTAGTTTTAAAAATAACAGAGGTGAAATAAATACATGGAAAGTTTGAATTCAACAGGAGAAATTCAACTTTGCTTAATTTTATTCTTCTTGCACTTGGGGCGTAGTATAATTCAAAGATTTGTTGGATACACACATTTTGACGCAATTCTATTTTTTTGGTAAGAAATAGTATACATTCTTGTATATAAATTGCTGAAAGTGTTAGTAATTTTTGATCCCCAAAATTACTTCTAAGGTGGTTCTCTTATATTTAGAATAATTCTCAAAAGTTCCGTTTTTGCAAATAAACAGGTTGTTCAAGTCTCTACTGCTGAAGAACATATACCATTTTCTAATATGGGATTCACCTGTTGCATGGTACGCCATTTTCACAGCAAGCGGTCTAAATACCTTGGTAGTACGCGGTGGCCATAACAAGCCGAATTTTTTTTTCTAACATTCATTATGATGTTCCCAAGACAAATAGTCAGCAAGGCAAACACCTAGTGTCCAAGTCAAACTGAAAATACAGTGTGGGTAGCATTAGGCATTAGGAGAAAGCGGCCCAACAGTCCTAGAGTCGATTAGGCCAAACAATGGTGGGAACCCCCTTTAATTTTTTGAACTCCCCTATATAATATGATGAAATTTGGCATGCACGTAAATAATTAAAATTTGTCATAAAAATATCTCAAAATGTCAAAATGACAGCCAGGCACCATTTTAAGTATTTTTCTTAATGGTAAGAGCTGTCATGTGATACTTCTTTTTGAAAGTTTTCCATATATCAAATTTGAAAACATTAGATTCTTCAGTTTTTGCAAAACAAAAATTAATCAAATACATTTTTAATTTTTAATGTAATATAAATAATTATTATTATTGAAAGGTTGCGTGTGAATACAGCATTAGAGTGTCAGGTCATGTTTGATTAATTTATATCTAAAAAGTAAAATGTATATTACATAACCAAGTTCATTTGAAGATCTAAAAGGCAGAGTTCAAAATGTTTGCAGTGTAATTTCCACAGAAACTTTGCAAGGAGGAGGAACGAGTTTATTGACAGACTTCATTATTCACAATGCCGGCTAATTTCGAACATTTAATACTTAAATACTTGATAAAATGATGAAACTATTTATTTTTAATTGAAGCTAGGGTGAAGTAATAGAAAAGTAATAAAACATTTGCAAGCATTCATTTGATTGTCTTGTAAAAAATGACAAATCAAATGTTTTCAAAAGTGGTATGCGAATAGAACATCAAATGACGTTTAATCACTTGACCCCTCTTACTTACTATTTAAAAAAGGTTTTTATATCAAAAATTAGACACTTTAATATATACGTGCATGCCAAGTTTTACCATGCTACATGATCGGTTTTTTGTAAACCAGTTGTTAGCTTCATCTACTTTTTAATATATTGAATCTTTGTGCAATTGCTTATTTGACACCATCTAACGTGATATTGACATATTTCTCTCATGTGATTCGTCTATGTTCATTTGTTACACATTATGACAGTAAAAAAAAACATCCCAATGATATGGAATATAGTCTAAAGTAGCCTAAGAGTGTTGAGAGTTGTCGTAGTCGACGATTGATGTTTTTATGAGAATAAGCACCTTTTTAAGAAAACACAACGAAACTTGCTTTTTATTACTTCCATCATTTTACCAACTCTTCCCGCTTCTTCTTCTGTCTTAACCCTAATGAAACTCTACGTTCCCATGTTATATGTTGCCGATTATCTGACTGATACCTTCGGCACTGCATTAACACACAATAACGCGTTTTACCACAAATCGAAACTCGATTTTACGTACTCGACGCGCGTTTCGCCAACCAAGTTGGCATCTTCAGGAGAAGATTAAAACTAAACTTAATAGAACAAATGCTCTCTATATATATACACATCGGGAAGTGGGAGAGGGAATTACGCACTGTTCACGCAATCAATCAGCGCGTATAATGGGCTAAATGGGATTGGACCTCTGTCTTTGTTCAGTGCCTTATTCCCTCTCTTAACAATTTCTAAGCTTTCGTAGGCATCTAATTTTCTACTATTATTTACTAATTTTAAACCTTATGATTATTGTTGAACATATGAACCACGATGCACGCATCTTGTAATTTCTCTTTAACTTGTTTTCCATTTTACCATAAATGCCAAATCGGAGTTTCTGTTGTTCATTTCATTGTTTTCTTTCCTGTTTGTTTTTGTACTTTTATCGTTTTTATTCCTAAAGAAACAATCTTTCTCACATTCTGTTTAGAGGCGTCAGTAAAAACTAGACAATGTGATTGGATAGATTTCTCTATTTTTTCTCTAAAATGGGCTTCCGCATTTTCGCTATTTATATTTAGTTTAAGTGGTTCGACCAAGGCAATAGAGTTAAAAAGTCTACGTTAAAGCACGGGAAAGTCGCACTCGAGTAAAGTCTGTTACGGTAAGGCAGATACATATTAAATGCCTGGACCAGGTATGGGGCGCCCGATATTCTATCATCATCTCTGAGAAGAAATCACCTCCGTACATACCACAGTAATTTTAGAGATTCTCTATGAGGTGTGTTAAAGGGTGGTCCGCAATGGCTAGGACTCCAGCCAGAAAGGATACTGCCAGTTTTCTCCTCCTTGTATCCAGGTCCAGTTCCGATGCTTCAGCCAGCAAGACATTCGTTGGGGTTGACCTCATACATCCCAGCACGCTATTCTTAAACCTTCAAAATGGATCACGTTAAGCTTGTTAAGTGTAGTCTTGTTGTAGGGGTTCACGAAAATGGAACCATAATCTGGGTTGGTCCTAATCAGAGTATGAGGTAAGGTCATTAAGATTTGCGGGTCTGCACCCCATGAAACTCTACTTACGCATTTCATTATATTAATTGCTTTATTTGCTTTATCACAGCTATATTTCACTTCAAATGTTTTTGTAGCACCACTCCTAAATATTTGACATGGTTCTTAAAAGCAATTTCCTTATTATCTATTTTTATATTTACTGGCGGGGCTCTTCTCCTACCTTTTGTAAACCAGACGGCTTCACATTTATCAGTACACAGGCAGAGGTTGTTGTTCTCTAGCCAGTTCTGTAATGTTTTTAGAGCTCTATTAAGTTTGCTTACCAGTAACTCTATGTCTTTTCCTTCGCAGAACAGGGCCCAATCATCCGCGTAATCCACTATCTTCACTTTCCCTTGAAAGAGTTTATATAATTCTAAAGTATAAATGTTAAAAAGGACTGTACTTAAGGTGGACACCTGTGGGATGCCCGAAGTAGCTAATATTGGTCCAATTAGGGAACCTTCATTATTCTTGGAGAATATAGATCTATTTTCCAGAATTTTAAAGATAAGGTTGGAAAGCTGTACCGGAATATTAAGTTCGTTGAGTTTATTATATAGTTTATGGATATTAACTGTGTCATAAGCAGATTTTATATCTAGGAAAACTGCTGCTAACGTAGTAATCAACGCTAGGTTATGATTTATACTTACTTGGAAATCCTGTCTGGAAATAAGAGAAAGTATTTTTGCTCTCTAGTAAATGTTCCATACGGCTTTTAATCATTAACTCTAACACTTTAATATAACATGAAGCCAAGTTAATAGGTCTAAAATGGTCAATGCTATGGGTGCTCTTATTGGGTTTAATCGGTAGGGATGACATCCCCAACTAGAAGGTTGTTATATATTTTCAGTAAGGCTTTTTTTGCTTCGACTGGTAGATGATTAATCATCTCATACGAGACGTCATCCAAACTCGGAGCTGAGGACTTCTTATGTTTTAAACCGTTGTTTAGTTCTTCCAAGGTAAATGGTCTAACATGTTCCATAGGAATTTTCAGTGTAAATTCGGATTCCATATTACAAATGGTCATTTTATTCAAAATCTCCCCCACCCCCCTCTCAGGGCCACAACTATATTATGCAGTTTGCAGGAAATATTGTTCCCTTTAAATTTATTAATTTTTTTCCACACATACGATATATTCGATTTTATGTTAAAAGATTCGCAAAATTCCCTCTTCTTGCTGTTTAACTGTTTTTTAGCTAATGCTATATTCCTTTTTGTCTGAATATAATTCTAAAGTTGGGTTCAGTTTAAAATTTTTACTTCTGTTTATTATTTCGGAGCAATCGTGGTTCCACCAAGGATTGGATATTCTTCCTGTTGAAAATTTAACTCCCATGGGGATGGAGAGATCGGCCGCTTTATTTATTATATTGTTTAATTCCACAAATCCCAGATCTTGACTATTCATGGATATATCAGCTAAAACAGTTTCATAAAATTTATTCCAGTCAGTCCGATAGGTGTGAGAAATAATTTTGTGTGCTAGTTTAATAAAGTTTCCATTCTTGAATTCCACGACAGTCGGGAAATGGTCGCTGTTCCCGCAGTCGTTCAAAACCTATTAATTAAGCAAGTGAGCTATATTGTTAGATATTATTGTTATGCCGACTGCGCTAACTGGTGATTGCGGTGGCTGAAAAAGAGTT